AACTGCATCCATTTTCAGCCTTTAATTTGCTAGTCTAACTATATCAAGCTTTTTCAATATCCTCTCTCAAGAAAAATTTATCACATCCCTGATCAGCATTTTATATCTTCTTTGCAACGATTCCAGTATGAACCTTTTGGGCACAGGTGATCAGAACTGTGCATACCACTCCAGACGAAATATTGCTGTTTCCTTGTACAACAGCATTATTTCTTCTCTGTCTTTACTGTTCTTTGCGCAACAGCATTGATTGTTCTCTGTCTTTACTGATAATGCTTCACTCATAACCACACCACTTACTTTCTCAATATCCTAGGATCCTATAAGCAACCCAGATATTTCTCCTACTCATTTCCCACTGATGAACTCTTATAGCAGAAATAATTACAAGGCATGGAGATACAGATCCAGTACAGTTTTTAGATTCTTATCTACTACTTAGGTTCCGAATTTCCCAATAAAATCAATGGAAATTAGGAACCTGCACAAGAATTAAGAGCTTAAACACTTAGTAGGATTTGGGCCTAATTGTGTTCAAGCTTTGTGCTACAGAATTCCATTCCAGTGTTTTTCTTCCAGTTCTCAAAGTCTTTGAGTTTATCACACAACCTCCTAATCCTCCTAATAATATGCCTTGACTTTTTAGCATCAACAGTTTTCATTAGCATGTCCATTCCCCCTTCTCCAGCTTGTTAAAATATTTCCTTTTACTACTACTTTCTACTTTCTAATTATTACCTAATAATATCCCATAAAGCAAATAAAATTCAGTACTGAAATTTAGACAGATTAGATGCTATTACATTTCTCCTACTAGGAAAAAATATTTCTAAAAATTATCAACTTTGCTTGGCAATCTATCTTTAGTAAACTCATAATGCATTTCTTCTCATTTCCTATTACTTCTGTTATCTTAATTATTCTTTTCTTTGAATTGTGTTGTAAAAATTTGCATGTGATTGATTACTAGGTCTACAGTCATCTACGTTATGCTTTCCATTTTTTAAAAGTATGTATTGCATTTACTGTTTTCAAGTCGTGCCTTTTGTTTTCATAAAAATTATTTCCTTGTAATCAGATCTGCCACTTCATTTCCCAGTTCTTCCATATTCTTTCAATACAGAGACTCCTTTGGTTGACACTGCTGGAGTGCACGAAGCTCTCAAAGCTCTATTTGCATTTCAGATCCGGTGACTTGCAATAGCCTCATTCCCATTAGTAACTTTGGTTTTGCTTTCTTCGCCAGCATTATGGGTCCTCAGTGGAAACAAAGACAAAGTGTTCAATTTGTTTAGGGATTTTACCTACTTCACCTTTAGTCTCTGCTGAATTGTTCCTGCATAGTCAGGCATCTTTCCCTGTTCACGTTTCCTTGTTTACTTTATAAGTAAATGGTTGAAGAGCCTTGCTATTTGTTTTAATTCTCTTTTAAAGTCTGATTCAGCTTGACATTTAGTAATTCCCACTGCATCTTTATGCTTTCTGATCTCTAAGGTATAGTACTCTTTGCTGATCAGTCTTTTTTTTCTATTCCTTTTAGGCTCTGTGCTCACTTGCAATATTCTTTCTGAAGTTATTATGCATCAAAACCAGAACCAATTTTGAATAGATAAAGAACTGAATACTACTAATCATAGATTTGGAAAATACTAGCAAGCCTGAACTCAAAATTTTGGGGATTATGTGTCTGTGGGAAGTGGAGGCAGGAAAACATTTTTACATAGCTACATTCAGTACTAGTCAAGGTTTACAAATAAGGATGCAAGTTTTCTTACACTGTTTACTTTATCAGCTAAGAAAGACAGATTCAGCTCAATCTTAAGCTGATGTTGTGAATTAACCTCAGGAGAAGCCTAACCACAGAATGAGGTATCTAGGGCACCTGTGGAGACTACCTTTTTAGACATTGGAAATACTTGCAATGACACAATATAAGTATTTCTTATTTTAAAATTGTCACTATTTTGATGAATTTAGCTCAGAACCACTGATCCTATGCTCATATTTCCACATTATTCTATGCTTCTGTTGTCTCAGCAACATTATTTTTATATTCCATTAGATGATACAAAATATCTGCTACTGGACCAAGAATAGGTAGCTAAATAAGAGGATACATACTACTACCTGTGTCTGCAATTATGTATAATATGAAACTCTCAAAGCATAAAATGGAATATCCATAAGCACATACATTAATGAAGATCAGTTTACAAAACTGCTGATTTAGGTTAGACAACTGTGGGTTAGTTAACATAGGCTGATCTACCATTTCTAATTCAAATTTCATAAATGGACCCAAAACAACATTTTACGTCTCTTCAAAAAGGACATGTGAGAGAGCTATGAAAAACAATACTACAGCAAAGAATAAAAGACTTGACGTGTTTTCAGTTCTCTAAGTTGTTCAGTGTCTCTGCTGTTCGCTGTTGCTCAGCTGTTTCTGTGTTTTGATCCAGTTTTTTCTTTAAACATTTTGAACAGAATATTAGGTTCTGGTCAAGTAACTGTTTGCAAGAACTCATGCCATTGATATAAGTAAAAAAGAAAACTGCAAATAAAAGCAAATGGCTTTTGCAAATATGTGAACATAAGGGAAAATTTCATTCTGCAAAAATAAGAGTTTTTGTATCTCTTCTTGTGATTTCATCACTGTTACAGGAGCCTTCTGCTCTGCATTGACTGCCATATGGAACAACCTACCTCTTTCTGCCTCATCTTTTTACAAGCCTCAACTAAAAACACACTTTCTTCATTGTCTCCATCGCTTAATGCTCGTCTTTCTTCTCTGAACATTTTAACTGTATTTACCAGCTTTGGAAAGTGTTTGGAGAGACAGTTTGTCCAAGAGATGTTAATCATATCTAAGCTATATTTCTGTATGGTTGTTTCAGCCTTAAACATAACCTGGAAAAATAATACAAATTACAATTAAAACAAAAGCCTGATCAAGCTTTGATGATTCTAGATCTTACCATGAACTTTTTCTGTCAGCATCCCATTTCTGACTTTTCCAAGAAGTCTCAGCATTCGTTCCATCCTTGTATCACCAACTCCGCTGTCCAACCATTGCTGGCATAAAAACACATATTGGCCATCCATCTTGCCTGATTCATGGATGACAATTTGGTCCAGATAGCATCCAGCTCCATAACCCACATTACTGTGCTCAACAAGTACTTGGCTTAACAGTCCAAGGTCTATTGCTCTCAATTCAGACACACTAACCTGAGAAGGTAAAGGCAAAATGAATAGCATAAAACTGATTAACCTATTCATTTTAAAAAAAATCTTCTGCAAGATTATGTTTGGAAAGACAGATTCCTTTCAGTCTGGAGTATCTTTTTCTTCCTAACCGCAAAGAAAGCTATTATAGGCTGACATTAATATTTGGAGATCTTATCATTCTAAAACATGCAGGTGCTTGAATATATACATTTTTCCTTGCTCATGATCACTGGATCTTAGGGTCTATTATGAAAAACATCCTAAAGAATTTTGGGTGGAAAGAAATCTCAGATCATTAATTTACTTGCAGAAGTCTCATGAAAGTTGTAGTAAGGCTCAGAGCCTTTGCTTTACCAATCCCATACAACTGAACTAGAAAGAATGCTAGAAATGTCAGAATACACTTGGTAAATGGATCTTCGGTTTAAATAAGGCACTTTATTTTAAAACATTTCAAAATCTTTTGTATTCTAAGCCACTTTTTTCCGATGGGAAATGTATTAGTCAACTCTGAACAGAAATAGTGACATTGCAGGTGACTATGCAAGCAAAGGATGATACTGACATTAGAAAGTATAACTAAGGCTGTGCATACATACAGGCAAGAACTGATGTGCTCTTCAGATGTAAATAGACATCTGTTTAAATATTGGTATGGCTACCAGTAAACAAAAGCTAAATGGCAACTGCACAAGTGCACGTTGGGATGAATAAATTATGTCAGTGAGAGAATGAATGTGTTCTGTGCAAGAGAGAATATGAGTGGGTGGGCAGATACATGGACATGTGTGTGGGTGACATTAAAAAAAAAAACAGATGGATAGTAGAAACAGACGCTGTAATTTTTATTTGTTGCCAACCAGTTTGCCACCAGTCAGGAAAAAACATGAGGACCAGAAAGCAACAAAAGAAGAGACGATTTTTAAAAAGAATTATATCATCTGGTCTGTTCCCCTGTCTGTGTGGGACTATTCTCTACAATGTGCTCAGAGAAAGAAAACATCAGAGTTGTTATTCCCATCACAGCCTTAGGACTTCCAACATTCTTACCTTGACATATCCATGATCTCCCCAGTTACTATGGCAAGTTACAGCCCTTCATGTAATTCATAAGCAGCCCAAAATAGGATATAGTTGTGAGGAACAGCTTGTAAATAACTTTTTGGGAGCACTCATTGCTTTTTAATTTTATGCTTTGGAGTTCCAAGCCAAAGATAATTTCCTTTTCAGTCTACATGACCCTTGGCTTCGAGGAAATAGCTTGCATTGCTACTATTCACGGTCCTTCACATCTAACTCTATCTGAAAAAGGGACCTATCATTAGTCTTATTCTTTGTGATAATAATTAACAGTCATTAGACAACAGTGGTCACAATCACCCATTGTCATCAATGAATTCTCATAATAATACGTTAAATTATCTACTCCTTCAGCATTAGCAAGAATGTACTTCTGGTTTAGATCATTATAGTTCCTGTTTCTTTCCCCCCCCCTCAGTATAAAGACATTTGGAATGGCATTAAACACACTACTGGAAGTGTAATTAATGAAAACCAAAATGATTTCATTTAAATTGACTTGCCTGATTTAGATACAGTGCTAGATAGGCAAAATTACAAATCTCCATTTATTTAATCCATTAAACTGGTGAATAGTTTAAAAATATAATTACTTAAATAAATATAAACCAGACTTACTTTCTGCAATAATTAGATCAGTTTTCAACCAGTTACTCTTTTTCCTATATTTTGCTGATATATTCTGTCTTCCTAGCTTGTCCTCATATTCACGTCTTTTATCAGTCAAGAGAGATCCTTTTTTCTACATTTCAAGTTTCTTTAATTTTGTCTTCTCTGCCTATTCTTTCCATATTTTTCAAAGCTATTGCTGATATAATCCTGTCCCTCCAGACATCTTGCCATTCCCTTCCTTCCATCTCCTGTTCTTATATGCTGTCACTAAAACCTCATTCCAATCTACTTCTTGTAAAAAGAATGACCAACAGTACTATGTCGGGCCACAGACCGCTCTGGTCCAGTATTCTTTCTGCAGCAGCTGCCAATAATATATTTCTAAGGAAGAGTATATAAACAGGGTAGATTGTACATAGAGATATTTCTTCAATATAAACTCTCCCAGGCTTTAGCAATTTGTGGTTCAAGGTTTTCCTGAACAGAGATTGTGTCTTTGTACCTAACAGCGCTCAGTGAAACTGTCTTCCATGACAATGTGCAATGGCTTTTTCAGCCTATGTGCATTTTACCACTTGCAACATCTTTGGCACAAAGTATCTTGGAGCTGTGTAAAGAGCCACCTCCTTTTTTTTTGCATCTGTCACCTGTAGGTTTCATTTAATGCTCTTCAGTCCTTGTATTTCAAGAGAAGTAGAAGAATTACTCATTGTCTCCATGTCATTTTATTTTATCTCATCTCCCTCACCCTTTCTCTAATTGTTCCTTCTTCAGGCCAAACAGTCCTTGTTTGCTTAGTGATTCCTTGTAAGGAAGATATTCCATCTCCATGGGCGTTCTTGTCACACTTTCACGAGAGGAGGATCAGAACAGAGCACACCATTGACGACGCATGCACACCGGAGAACTACCTAGAGGCACGACTGTCTTTTCTACTTTGTTTCTTTTTTTTTCTTTTCTAATGATTCATAAACATTTGATTTGTTCTGTTTCGTTTTGTTTTCGCTTCTGCTAAGCACTGAGCTAACATCATTACAGAACTACCAAATGCCAAGCTGGCTTTCCTATAGACAAAAGCTATTTCAGAGCCCATCACTTTGTAAGTAAAGTTAGGCTCTTTTCCCTTGCTTTACATTTAGCTACAGTAAATTTCATCTGCCATTTTATTACCCAGTCACTCAATATAATGAGCTCCACACCCATCTTTCATATTTAATGCCTTGAATAACTTAGTATTATCAGAAGACTTTGTTATGTCACTACTCACCCCTTTCCTAAGAACTTACTGCATAATGAAAAACACAAATACACAACATGTTTAACTTGGAGAAAATTTTCATTCTCCAAGGTACAAAATAGTGCAACTGGAACAAAGGATTTGTTTGGGAAGCTGTTGAGCACTCTTTTCTACTGCTCACTCTTGTGGCTCTGATTTCTTAAACACTAGCAGCTGTGTCACTGATTCTGTATTAATGTTGAGCTAAAAACTGCCATATAAATTTTTTTCTTTTTGGATCTCTTCTCCAGGTTATGTCACAGACTATGTGCCTTTATTTTTGTTATTAATTCTTCTATTTACCTATAACCATTTGCCCTCAAAAATGCCCAGAATGAGCCTGTATTCTTAATAAGACAAACTATATCACAAAGCTCTTCATATATTTTAATTACACAATTTGGACTATCAAAAATAACAGCTAGCAGAAGAAACCTATAAGGAAACAAGGGAAAAATGTATTTTAGTTTGGATTTGCATGTAAACGGAGGATCAGGGAGAGGAGAGAGAGAGAGAATTCTGTTTTATCGTAATGAGGACACCTGGTCAATCAAGTGATTGAAGCCTTTCTGAAACAAGAGGAGGCCAGTTCGACAGAAGCAGAAGAAGGAACAAGAAATCAAAAAGAGCAATTCTGTAATGGAAGCTGAGCAGTTTGTTGATTTGGGGGGTTTGAAAGGCAATTTTGAACTAAATTGTGAAATTATATCAGAATGGGTTTGCAAATACATTCATCAAGGTACAGGATTCTGCAAACAATGAAATCTAAAACAGTAGGACTGCAAGAGACTATAAGAAAAGGTAGAAGAGAAGTGTACTACTTAATACCTTTGGTAGGAACACTAAGGCCAGTTACTAAATAACTGCCAATTCATGTTGATTCCCCTGGGTACGATGACACTACATATTGCTATGAATCTAACACTAGCTTCTTTCTATGAAAAAGGTATATTAAGCACACTTTTGAAAGATGTAAGTCATTTTCCTCAGTAGTAAATAAGGCAGGTAAACTTGATTGATATATACATATGCTTACCTCCTTTCAGCCTTGACTAAACTTTTGATTATCTTCATTTATGGTGGGAAAAGAAGGACACAAGAAAGGTGAAATGATACATTCAGATCATCAGGTAAACTAGTAACTGAAATTAGAAAAGAATCTAGGTTTTCCACATGTGAGCACACTATACAACACAATCTATTTACAGCTACAGTTGTCTAAAGGCGGAGGTTTCACACAAAGATGAAAAGAGAAGCAGAGCAAGTGTTGGAAGATTTTTAAGGAAGTTGAGAAGATACTACTGAAGAGACTGAAAAAGCTAGGAAGTGTAACTAGGGTGATAAAAGACATGTTCCACTATACAAGAACAATGTATAGCCCAGAGAAGAGACAAATAAGGATAGAAGTCTGTAAAATCAAGAATGGCAAAGAGAGGGTGACAGGGAAAAAATCCTTCATTGTCCCTTCCAGGAAAAGAAGTAGGGGCCTCAGACGAAACTAGCATGTGGAAGGTTTACACAAATTACAGTGAAATTGTGATCCACACTGCGACAGGACATCACAGATGCTGAACATGTTTAAAAGAGAGTATACACATTTATTAAAGAAAAATTTGTCAATGGCTGTTGAACACTAGGATGCCACATCTAATATACTTAGCTGAGAACCACTAAAGTCTGGACAAACAGCCTGAGCAGCATGCAGTAAGTTCCTCCTGTTTCTGTAGTCTTCCCTGGAAGCCTGTGATGGGCTACTGTCAGAGAGGAGATCCTGGACTCGATAAATTTTTGTGCTGAACCAGTACAGCCACCCTTATATGTTTCTATGTTTGAGAAAATATTTTGACATTATAAAGCAAATAAAGAAAAAAATTCCCTAATGGTAAGTAAAGCTAGCAAAGCAGTGGAACAGATTGGCTAGGAAAGCACCTCAGTCACTGAAGATCTTAAGAAATCAAATGAAATAAGCACAGAGGATCCTGCCGTAGTATACAGTGATCAACTGAAGATCTCTTAAAAATCATATTTTGTCATACCCAGGCTGAGTCCAGAATGTGTGCGAACATGTTGTGTAGGTATAATCATCAACCTGTCAGTTGGCAAAGGCTGACCATAGAATTTCCCCTAAGATTTACTTTGAGCAGTTATAGTTTAACATTTACAGACAGCTTTACCTGTTTACAGTTCTATTTTTAACCAATTAATTAACATGACAGCTAACAAACACATTTAAAATGTCTCTTTCAGCTATATCTGGATAGGTTTTTTAAAAAACAGATTTTAAAGGAACAGTCACAGGAAAGAGCCCTGATATTTCTATTTCAACTTCACAGAGAACTGAATATTAAGCCACAGAATGTTATATATCCTTGAGTTCAGTTCCGGTTTCTGCAAACATTTACTCATGGTTTGTGGTTTTCAAATGTATTGCTACTGCAACTATTTTTAAATTCTAATTCAAGTTGAGGTAAGATGTCTGCACTCAGTAAGCGACACATCTTCTCCATAGGTTACCACAGTGTCATGTCAATGTACTTGATAATTGAAAAAAAAAAAAAAAGGTATTGGAAGACAATAATAAAAAGAAACACATTAAACAGGTGAGTAAAATTATTCAGTACTAACCTGTCCTCTTTCAAAATTTGAGTGTCTTATTCTCCTTTTGCAGGAATCTCCCTGCTCTCCAAATACTGTGATAAACACATCTGCATCAGTCCCTGATGCAGGCAATGTTCCCATATGAACACTGACTGAATACAGCACTTCTGTCATGAAAATCAATGAAACAAGACATTATCAAACCAGTCTATTTAGCAATGTAGCTATCAAACATTATAAATCAATTTATTCCAGGTAAATGATTAATTTCTAGACCAAGGAATGAAGAAATATTAATTAGCCTTAATGTTCTATCTGAGTTTCATATGGTTTGCTAACTATGTCATGACAACCCTGTAAAGCATTAGAGATGATATGTTCTTTATGAATCACTGTAACAATCCAAGCTCTCACTCTAAAAAAGGAAAATACTGTCTTAGTTCTGGAGTTTTATCCAGAGGTCACTGAAATCAACTCAAATAACCTAACTGATCTTATTGGACTTCGTAACAACCCTTGAGTTCTTGTATTAATTAATGGTCTTAAATTGACTTAGAATTTACTAATTGTAGTAACATTTTGCAAAAGAAAAAACATGGAAATAACAAAGCTGAAATCCACTTTTTCTTCTGGATCAGCTGCGTTCTATTTTAGCTTGGCAATTTGATAATTACAGCTACTATCAATTAATTTGGTCAGGAGAAATGGCTCATCTATTATTCATGTACATTATTATTATTCTCCACAAAGGATGGCTTTCCATGACTTTTGGCTGATGAGTTATGTAGTACATATTCCTTGAGGCAGCATGACAAAGATTTTTTTATATGGGTTCTGTAAACTCTGTGAAGAATTAAATGTTATAATGGGCTACTAGGATATAAATTCATTTGCAGTCTAGCTTTCAACTGGACAATTAAAGGGAATACTTTTCAATATACTTCTTAACTAAGACTTCTGTTCATTGAGCATAATGAATTAGAGGGTTTTTTGTAAATATTGCTTAAAATGTAGTCAGAACAAAGGAACATGTTACCAGATATTTTAAACACAACGATAAAATAAAACAGAGAGCTACAAAGGCAGAAATGAGGCTTGGAGAAAACTTCAGAAAGCATTGTTTTTTCTTTATGTGAATCTTGACATCATGACTGATACTTAGCCTTGTGAAAACAATACGTGTTGTTTGCTTTAAAATAGAAAAAAAAAAGAACAATACACACTAGTAAAGACCCCGTAGATCACATACTAACTGAGCCTTTAAAAATAATTTTGAGTGATTTTTTCATAAAATTCTCTGCAATCTTTCCCATTGTGTTTATTCTTTTAGGCAGTTCATAACTTTTTGTATGTGTTTGTGCATTTTCTTGTGCATTCATTTCTTAGTTCAACAGTATACCCCTGAGTGGTGTCTTATCTGGTCTGACTGCTGCTAGCTCTGTCACGGTCTCTGACCCATCTTCTCCAAATAGACACTGGGCTTCAGTGGAGAAGCCCAAGTCTTGTTTAGTGTCCAGGTCTTTCAGACGAAGCTGCAGGCAAAAGCAGAAAAAGATTTTTTTTTTTTCTGAAATGTTTCAGTTCTTATTTTCATCCTAACAGAAACTGACATTTCTTCCCATCATTAACATTCACAGACACGCACACAAATTCTCTATAAAGGCTACCTGATTCTACATAAGAAGAGCTGCAGTAGTTGCTGCAAGGCCCTGATTCTGCAGCCTGAAATTTGTAGGTGGATTCGTCCTTGGGTATCCACACAGGTATGGGGTCCAATTGTAGGGATACAAGTGGAGGATACAGATTAAATTGACCTGTACATTCCTACTATTTCAGTATTTCAAATGAATGAATACAACTGCAGCAATCTTATTAGTATATGCCTATTTTTCTAGGGCATTTCTTTTGCTGATTTTTATTTGTTTAGATGTGACTTGCTATATCACGGCTAGGATTTTCAAAGTTGGCAAGAATTAGGTGACCAATGGCCTTTGAGGCGCCCTGTGGGAATACGGCATTTGAATCTTAATGAATTCCAGTAGAAAGTATGAGCCTAGGCCCACATTCCTTCCACCTGACTTTGGAGATGGGAAGTTACATTGCAGATTTGAAATCAGTTTAAGCCAGCCTAATGCCTAATGGTTACTCATTGGCTTAACTGCCCGTTCCCGCTCACCTCCTTTTTGCCAGCACTGGTGCTTGCGTCACCAGACACTGACACAGATCAGGGAACTGATCCAGCTGGAAACCAAATTTCAAAAAATTATATTAGTTCTGTGAACTAGCTCAGCCACGTTTAGAGGCACAAAGGAGAAGCGAGGAGGAATAGCCAGAACAAAGCCATCTTGCAGGGGCATCCTGCACTTACCAACTGCACGCAAATCAATCATGGAAGCACAGCTGTGGGAACCCACTATCTTAGGTGCTCACAGAGTCAGTGTAAAGACCGGATATCCTGGATCGTTTCATAAAATATACCATAAAGACATATCAAGCATATGCAGAAACTCTTCTGGTAACTACAGTATTCAGGATTCAGCTTGATACATAGCTAATACCTAAAAGGCTGCAGAAATGTTTTTTTCAGCCTTTAGAATCTCTCTGTATAGAAACATTATATGCAAGTCATTAAAGGAAAAAACAGTCATGTCATCAATATATAAAGTAATTGAAAATTCTCAGGCAGAGATTCCCAAAATTACTTTGGTCACCTATTACCATACTGCAGCAGCAGCAGCAGCAAAATAAATCATAATATAATAAATAAATAATTATATATTGATTTAAATCACTGACATTATTAGAAATTTGAGAGTTCTAAAGTTAAAAATTTGTCAAACTTTCTTGCCCTTGAGTTCTTAGAAATGTAATAACTGAACGTTCTCCATTCCTATTTATGCTATATGCCCAATGCCTTGCAAAATCAGGCACAAGGCCTCCTGATGAAAGAAAATAATTTCCTAACATGATTTCTAGAGCCAAAGAGGTAGTTTCTGGAATGAACAAGAGTTGTTTTCCTTAGACAGTATTAAATTCTATTAAAATTGCAGCCATTGGCATACCTATTTTTGCACCAGCAGTAAATGAATTTGTTTACACTAAATATCTAACTCCTTGGCATACAAAAATATCCTCCCTAACTCCTACCAGTATAAATATCCCTAGCTAAATATCTCTCTCTAAATATCCAAAACTCGTCAGTGTTAGAATTGCACTAGGGGTTAATTGTATATGTAGATAGATGACTTGCAGAAACTGGACTGACAAAAATAAGATGTGCAAATTAATGTAGACTTGTGGCTTTAAAGTAAAATCTGCCTGACAAATTCTTGTTAGTCATAAATTTACATCTAAGCATGAACTTTACCTCCAGATCATACAGTGTTTGTATATTCTTTATGAAAGTAAAAATGATTTTGTATTTTATTTCTGGGATGGGAGAGATACTATATTTCAAGCAAGGTAAAGCTACTATTTCTACAGTATATAAATCTTTGAAAGTTACAGAAAAGACCTAAATTTTAACTAAGGTTGGACCATTTTCTACTGAAGTGTACAGAAAACTGTAGGAGATAACAGGAGAAGCTTTAGCATTCTGAAGATGCTGTAAACACTAGAAGAGAAAGTGCTATGAACAGTAGTGAACAGTGAAGAGTAGTATATATAGCAGTGAAAGGAATGTAGGGGTTTTATCTTCTTTTATCTTTTGCAGCTGAGTCTGTAATCCATGTTTTTGTGAAATTTCTGAAATTGGCTATTTCTTCTTTCATTTAAGGAGAACGCAAGGAAGACAACTCTTCCTTCTTTTCAGTTGGGTGACTGGGTTTGACCACTGATTCACAGTGAACTTGCACATACTGACTCTTGCAGTCTTGCTATTTATATATATATATACATACACACACACACACGCACATATGTATGCATGCATGTATGTATATATATGTATGTATATGTGTGTATATATACATTTCTGTATTTTTACTACACTATGAGAGTTCTATTCAAACAAAACCACCTTGTTATGTTTTAGATTACAATTCCATGTATAAATAAGGTATATACAATCTAATAAATGAGTAATAGATGTTATAAGCATATTACTGGCACAAGCAATAGGTGTTATTGTGGCTTATGTTGTAGGTTGCAAGTGTATCAGCAGAAGAGACTACATAGGTCTATAGCAACCTATTGACTTGTTGGAGACTAAAAATTTATAGCTACTAATTAACCATTTACTAAATAACTATTGAAGTATTTAAAAGTATGAACAAAAATCACTTAACTATTTGCCCATGGTTATCTTTCAAAGAAAATCTAGTAAACTTTGTGCAGAAGCAAATTTATATTTGTGAAGTTTCTGCCATGTTTTGAATCACCAGTGCTGGAGAGTGAAATCTTATATTAAATCACATAATGGACATAGTGAAGGTAGTGCCAACACACTTTTTGCAGTTCTTTATCAGACGGCCTGGAGAAGCATATTTAAGATGAGAAATTGATTTTGCTTACTCACTCATTCAATTCTTGGAGCCTAAACTGAGGCTACAAAATTAACGGACAATGAACACATTTCAGGAGAGAATATGAATAAGATGAATTGCTTTTATCCTCAGTGGAGCTCATAAACTCAGACTTAATATCCCAGTTGGGCTTCAGCTATATAGACTGGTTATTCAAAAGCAATTATGTAGTATAAGCCCATTCAAATTTTACCCTGGAATGCAGCTCTCTTTAGGGTTTCCCATCAGAACAGTCTCTGGACTGTTTATTTGCTTAGGGAATCACCCTTCAATCTTTTACATTCAGTGTAGGGTTAAGGAACTGCTGTGGCCCCTGTTTGGAAAAACATTCTTTCACCAGCTTGAGAATAATTCAATGCTATGTCCAAAATGCTTTTCAGACCCTTTCCTCCAGGCACAGTATATTGACACAAGTTTTTGTTGAATTAACTTTCAAGATTTAAGTATTTCCCCAAGTTTTGCCAGGCCTGAAACCTTTCCATTCAATCTCCCTACCTGCCCTGGGGAAAGGTATATATTTAAAATCCGGTTGAATCTTAAGCCTGACAGCATTAAGTCGTTCCTCCATCCTTTCATGAGAGATCTTAAGTACATACTAAACTTTAATCATGTGTTTAAGGCCCACTGATGAATATGTTGTCTTGAATAAATCCCAAATCATCAGCCTTATTGTTTTCTACAAGTAGGCCGCTCAGTGTCAGGAGACAGTCAGTATTTCCATGGAGGCATTAATATTTCCCAACAGAAATGGGGAAAATTCAGCAGAAAATGCTGCCCTTCATGTCCTGATGGGCTATGCAATATGGTAAAGCTACACACGCTTCAGCAGAAGCAGAAATGAGGTAGCTCTACCGACAAAGACATCTGGATGCTGTAGGCAATCACCTGTAGACTCAAAATAGCTTTGAGCCGAAAACTTGTGGCTCTGCTAATGTGGTATCAAGTCGAAACTAGTAATCTGTCTCTCAGAAGAAGATATTTATACTGATATTACGCAAAATATTCCAAATTTACATGTAGTGTATTTGGAGTACCTTCTGCAGTTTAATTCCTCTTCCGAAATATGGACCAGATAATAGAAAGGAAACTTTTGTTATATTTCCAATATCACCAACAGTCACCTGTTAAAAAATAAGAAAAAAAATGAACTTCATAATTTATAAACAATTGGAAGACATATGATAAGCCCAAATGAAAAGATAAGTGAACCATATAAAAATGCTGGTCAAGGACATTAATGTTAGGGTGAGGAAGTCCCATTAAGATTGCAAGTTAATTTGGATTCACATCATTTCACAATTTATTTTTCTTTTTCACTTTAAGAACTGGCTGCAGAGCCTAGGCCTACAAATGAAAAGCACAGAAATGCATGACTGACTCTATATACCCAAGTGGCATTCATTTTATTATGCTTTTTTCTTAACTTTCTTAGTTACTTCCCCTCCATCACCTCTCTACTATCAAATTTGAGCTCAAGCTGTAATTTTGAACCCAAGCTGACTTCCGGCCCCGGCTATTGTTTCTATTCTCAGTTATTTAGGCACTCAAAAGAAAGGATGTCTGGATATATGTATTGGCCAACATGTAAAACCCGCTTCAAGCGCCGTTTCTTTAAGCCATTGAGGTATAACTGTCACCTCTGACAAAACAAAAAAGTCAGTTTGCACAACTTCCTATAGGTAGGCTACAAGTCTTGCTTTGCTGAAGCAGTCTGGTATGATTTGTATGAAATAAACAAGAAACCAACCAAAAATGGATTATTGTTCAGATTCTGAACTTTCTGTGCAGGGGATTTCCCCTTTTCCCCAAATATAACAATTTGAATATCAGGAACATCTTCTGGTGCATGCACACAGTCCACCCATGTTTGCCATCGTCCTTGGCTTTTAGTATGAAATTCTTTTGTGAGAAGAGGTGTCACAGATGTTTCTGCATTGAAAATAAACATACATTCAGAGACTATATCTAAGTTATAAGGCAGTATAAGCCATAATATACAAAACTGTCCTACCAAAGGGCTGGATCCAACACAGGCAAGTCAGGCAGCAAGAGCACATTACTTAATTTAGCTCTGCTGCAACTGTGGAAAGCCAGGCTAGCTGCCTCATGTATCTGCCTGTGATACTCATGCAGGGGTGACGGTAATCTTCTCTGTATTGTTCCAAAGGTAGCGTACCTGCTGCCAGCACCTGCTGCCACTCTCGGAGGGGATGAGGAAGGAAAAGTAGTCCCTTCCTCAAGCACTGCTCATTACCACTACCTCTGGAAGCAGCAGGAACAAGAAAGTCACCACTCCCATTCCAATGTTTTCCATCCGAGGTAGTATTTCCTCCTCACCTTCTTTTTTACAGAAGGCACAATTCATATTGGGTCAGACACTAGCCCTTCACCTTTAGGGTCTCAGCGTTCAATTTGCCTACACTGTGAAATAGCCTTGTGCTTGTTCTGCTCTGCCATGCAGGAGGGGTTCATGCAAATAAAGGACATTTTTGTGGGTATTACCTTTGAGTGGAATTACCACTTCTGCAAAATCTTTCTTAGAGCATTTATTGATCCAGTCATTGTGAACAAAGATGTGTGTGGAGAAAGGGTAAATGACTTCTTTTATAACAATTTTTTCCAAGAACCAGTCATCTGATTGAAAATAAACAGAAAATTATTAATTTATACTGTTAAAGGAATAATATATTTTGCCCATGTAGTCATAAGTTTCTGTCTTGAGAAAAACAATAAACTGTTGTTTTCTGCCTGACTTCTTAAGGAAATAAGGCTTCTGAAAATATATTAGATGTGTATGTGTTGCTGTCTGTTTCCCTAATCTCCAAAATATTTGATATAGTTAAGAGGTCTTAATGAAAGCAAATTTTTACAGATCTTGTGAAAAATAAACATACGCATAGAGATGCAGGATCTATTAGTGTTCAAAAGAATGTAAATGTCTCTGTATGAGATCTCTAGCTGCAAGAGATCCCACATAGGAGAGGAGGTTATGAATGACCTAGTGGAAAAGAAAAAATCAGGCTTTCTACCGTCATAGACATCAGCGAATACAGTCCCCAAACAACTTCCTCTCTACTGTGGACATATGCTATCTAGCAGGGCATGAACTTCAGCTGAAGATTTTCTCTTGATTGAGGCCATTGCGTTGGTTCTCTGGAAGCTGATCACGCTGCAGCCTTAGTACGCCTCAGTGGAAAAGTCAATCAGCCAAAAGGCACAAACTCACAGAAACTGAGACTTCATTAATTCTGCTGCTCCAGAAACTACCTGATTTCTTCCAGAACAGGCTGACTGGTGAACACTGTGCTATAAGAAATGGTAATGATAGTACCCAGTTCTGTCACTACTCAGGAAAGGAATTATTGTAGGCTTCAGCAGTTGTACAAGTCATGCAGCCTTATTGTGTTAGTGATTTAGCCACATCTAAGCATGCCTTTTGCAGAGCAGATTCAGCAAAATAATGGCAACCTGTGAGTTTCCAACTGCTCTCAATTAAGGCTTCTGTTCTGAACTGCCCCTGAAGGATCCTAGAAAGATCAGTTTCCTTAAAGCTTGTGCCTACAGCTAGGTATCGTGAATAGCAACCCTTCTTCACAGATTGTTTTAAACTCTGACTGAAATCCAAGTCTTGGTGAAGTTAATGAAAGTTTGACCATTCATTTGCATGTTATTATTTAGGAAACAAATGGGCATTAGTCCCCAAACTAAGTTTTATCCGTTAATCTTTGTGTTTAACCTACAGAATTATGTTACAGTCTTGTTTTTGACAAAGATAAAGGAAAAAGAGAGGCTAGTTTATCATGCCTGGAACACTCTTATCTCCATTATCTATATTATCTGCACAAATGGTATATCTGTAGAATCTCTGTTCCATTGCATCTGAAAACTGTTGGGGCAACAACGTAGATGAAGTATTGAAGGAGATATAATTTCATGATGCTCCTTGCTGTTGCTATTTATTTTTAAGCGGTAAGCATTTTTTTAACTCCCAAAACTGCTATGGCGTTGGAAGGATTGCAAGAAAATGCTTCAGGGAGCACAGCCTTTTTTATCTGCCACTCAACCTCACATTTCCAGAATGTGTTAAAAAGAATACATTTCTAGTGGGACAGAAGAAAAAAACTAGGAGGTCAGAACAGACTATCTTCTGTGTCCCACTTCCCAATCTGAAGAAGTGATTTTCTGTTCTTATCTTTACCTAGAAGCATTTAGCCCTGAATGAATTACTTTACAGGGAAAAGTTTCACATGTAAATTCACCACTTTACAGTGTCACTACATTTGCTAGGAATCCTTTCAATGCTTTAGTGAAACCAGGCTTGATGCTTGAAATGTATAGTCTTAGCAGAAATAATGAACAGGACAAAATGTAGAGCAATTTCAAACTTTCTAGAACTTTAAAATAAAACACGTATGATTTTCAGTCTTAAATTTAAGACATTCCTGAAGTTCTAGGATTTCTTAAACTTGACTTACATTGTTACTATAGGTTATTTGCTGTCATATAGTGCTATATACTAACTGAAAAAAACACTGACCTTTTTTTGGACTCTTAAATCCAACAAGAATTTGGTTCAACTTGCCAAGGTATACTGCTTTGATTTTGAAAACATCCACCTGCAATGTCAAAACAATAATTTAGTTAAACTAAATATGTATCTGCTTTGAATAGTTATGAGTTTAACCCTGTGCCTCTGGACATTGCTTTGTATCTTAATGTGAGTAATTTTTTCTCATTTGTGACATTCCATTTCTTTGAGATCATAATGTACTGTAACTGATTTTTTCCATGCCAGTGAATGATATGACTTATAAATTTCAAAATGTTGCTGTGTGTTAATACACAGTTAATATGAAATCATTTTAGAATTGTTAGATACATCTATGATCCTTAAGCTGATCATTTTAGTAGTCTCATAGATTGAAATAACCAGATCATATCAATTACTACTTCTGTTGAAAGTTACTTTGATCCAGAACTTCTTGAATGTTACATACCTAACTCCCAGTGAAACTGATGAAAAGTAGGTATCAAATAATTTGGAAGATCTGGAGAAATTTTGTTTTCACTAAAATTCACAGTTAATCTAGTGAAAATTAGGCAGCTAAATGAGAATCAAATGAATAGATATCTGGGAAGATTTGGACATCTCTTCCTGTAGAAGCCATGGCTATGCTACATGATATTTTTCACATGCAACAGAATTGCAGAGTGACCAGACTTCACGGAATCTTCTCCATTTTCTCTACTGTAAATTCTTCTTAGTATAATCATCTTCATGGTATATACACTTCTTTGATCAGTCATCTTTCTCCCCTATCTATGGGAAAGCCACACTCTAACACTAGGGACATATATTGCTTAATGGTTGCTTTTTTTAGATTGAACATTAAGAAACAAGGTTTGGAAATATACTCTTCATGAATGGGTAAGTGTAATCTCCTAGGGAAACGAGCTGCACAATGAAACGTCTATGAGTAAGCCTGTTGTATCTGTTGTGACTTCATGAGCTATCCTGTTGAAGATAGACCCAGCTGTCTTGGTAAAGTCTGGATGAAAATGCAATTTGCAATTTGAAGACAAAAGCTGGGGACCTATTTTGGGGTTTGAAGGCAAGCAATGAAAACTTTGTATAGTTCTTATGGTCAATGCCAAGTACCATGACTTACAACAATTCATGCTATCTGTGAGGGCCATAGGGATCAAAAAAGTCATCCACAAAAAGAGCAAAGATTAACAATAGAAATTAGGCATTTTTAGGTAAGCTGGAGTAAAGAAAACTGTGAGGAGATGAATATTCAAACAGTTGTTACTTGAAATCTTTTTAGAGTGCTACAGCCCAGGATATAGAAAAGTCCTTTAAAGTTCCAAATGAAGGATTTAGTCTGCTGACCAGGTCCACTAGAAAACTGGAAAAGAACTTGGATTATATAGTAAAAAAATCTGGACAAGAGTTATATTTCCATTGGGTTTAGTATTCACAGAAATCAACTGTACTGCTCACAAGTTTTTTCTGTAAAAGTTTTATTCTTAAGGAATATTTAAATATACATTTCTTACAAAATAAAGACTAAAGAAAGCTCAGTTCAGATTCTGGAAAGGATGGGGAATTAGCTCCTCTTTGAGACTACACTGACACTTCATCCTTTCTACTAAGCAGACTTGCTGGCCATCTTTTTCTAAGATGTTATCTTTAAGGTAAATTACATACACCTGCTCTGCAAAAAAGAAGAATCTATAAAATTTCCTGCATTACCGCTTTAAGCTCGATGAGCCCTACCATTCTATTATTATTTTCTGATTTCTTTTGTGAAATCCGAGCTTGGGGTGCGATCAGTTCTTGAGGAACATGGCATAGGGCACCCATATTCTTTTTCAAAATGAAGAAATTAATTAAAGAAACCCAAAGAATGCCATGAATAAGAAAGATTGAATTTGTTTTCATACAAAAAATATTCTCCTAGAATCTCTGGAAATGAAAATAAGAGTAGACAAAATAAATAGATCTACATTTAAAGAATAAATGAAGCATATGCCGGGTAGATTTTTCTGGGTTGCTGTATTAGAGAACAAACTGTGTTGACCGGAGTCAATGAAATACTAGGCCCCTCTCCCCTCAGACTACTCTGCCCTGCTGCAATTATTTTGTGATTCCCTAAAAATAATATAAAAAAAAAAATTACAAACCTGAACTTAAAGCAAATAGGAGGTCTAAAAGTACCAGCTAAATATTTCCTTTTTGATCTGGAATTTCTTTTAGTTACCCTATTCCTCTACCAATAAATACTCTAGGAATTACTCTTCTAGGAAGAGCCCTTCAAGGCTTTAAAAGATAGAATATTTTTATGATGTATAAAAGCAATAACAGTGCAGAAGAACTAGAAGCATGAAAAAAATTTGAAGCACTGCTTGGAACACCGACATGAGTGTTCAGGAAAGTTAGCAAAATAAGGTTATTGCTTAAAGTAGGCAGAAAGCCAGAATATTCTAAAGAAATTCTGTCAGTTCTACCAGGCCCGGTATAGATTTTTTGAAGGCCTCCTTGTCCTTAAAAGTCTAGAATATTAAAAGAAAACTTTTAGAGTATATTTAGTCCAACTCAGACTTACTTAATCTTACTGTTCTGCAATGCTGGTGATGCTTAAAAGCAGTATGTTACTTCTGGAGAAAATCACCTCTCAATTACAGAGAAAATTATGTCTACATAACATGGAGAGACTAGTAGAGTATTTCCGATACCCCGTACATGACAGTTTTTACATAAAAACAAGTTTTAACAGGAAGACATTTGCAACTTCCTCATGGTTTTACCTGCCCTCTCGCAAAAGTGATTAGGCTGTTTCTTGAGTTAAGACATCGTTTCCCCGAGTCACTCCTTTCTCCTTGAATACAAAGATAAGCCTCACCAGTGGCATCTGCTTTCTTCAAGTCTCCCGTGTGCAAATGGATTGAATATTCCACAACTTCAGACAAAAAATAGATACAAAACCAAAAAGTCAGCATGAGAAAATCCTTGTCTTCTTGCCCAACGCTTACGTCCTTTACCATTCCCTGGTTTTTTTATTGCATTACTTTCACATAGGAAACATTTAATGAGAATGTGTTATCACAAAGGGGCCTTTTTAAAATTTAACTCTGATCATGATCTGAACATGAAGGGCTACTGCCACTCCACAAATGTCTGCGTGTTGACAAAACTGCCTTTTCTTAAGTTATTAATTTTACATCATGACTAAACCTGGAGACCCATGTCAACATTATTCCCATTTTGATCAGAACTGTGCAAGTGCAACAAAAGTTAAAATCTTACAATTTAAATGGAAAATATGAAAGATGAGAAAAATCTTGATTTTTCCATTTTACATCTGTGAAGCTAGGAGAGGACTTGTCAAGAGTGGATAAATTAGCATGACTGTAACTGTAAGTAAAGTTAAATTAATTCTGTGCAGTTACAACATAATTCATCTCACTTCACCTCTACAAAAATAAGACACAGTAAGACACAGCAAAACATGCTGCTATAAGTTGAACTTTACTTATGGCATCAAATATACAAAAGGGTTTTCACCTCAGTTAATCTAGATGCAAAATTGCAAATTTATTTTGTCTGAAGTCCCGTACTGTGCCTCAGAAGCAGGAGCGCAGGTCTCTTCAGTCCTAGTGACATGCATAACCACAAGACATTCCTGCTGCATAACTGCCTGTTTGGCAATCTGCAGAGAACAATTCTGATCTGCTCTGACACTTCACTCAGAATATCTGTACTACCAGACACTGTTTGGAGAGCAGGATCTCTCCTATGTACTGCCCTCTTAACCTCTAAGGTAACTAACCCCTTTCTATAAAATACTTCCATGCTCCATATATCTTTACGCACTCCTTGGAAAGTCTAAGTTCTGTTCTCTAAGACTACTGACCCTTATTTCTTTGTTCCTTCCTTCTTTCTTTCTGGCTGTGTATTTCATTTTCTTCTTGAAATGAAGCTAAATCTTAGCACTTAAAAATTGGCTTAGAAGAAAGCTGTGATCTGATTGGCTTAAGAACCTTTAAACTCTTGAAATTATTTCCCAATGAATAAACACAGCAAGACTATCAAGCTTTCTCACTTATCAGGATCAGGAAGTTCGAACACATTAATGTGAAACAGAAATAATGAATTTAAAAAAAACCTACTAAAAACTTTCAAAACCAGCTTTACTATATACATTGAAAATTTTCTTGATTTTTTCATTTCCGTCTCCAAAGCATCTCCCATGTACTAGCATTTGCCCATACAATAACCCACAGATATAGATCAGCTAAGTGAAAAATGAGCTTAAGTAGAAAGCATTCCTGATTTTCTCAGTTGAGTTCATAATGTAGAGATTAGAGGAGACATCTGTGGCGTACCATATGCAGCTTCTGCTTCCTAGCCTCTTTCTGACACCGTACACAGGGCGGTGATCCAGGAGAGAGAGGACTTCAAACTCCTGACTGCAGTCAGTAGACTGTTTCTACTTTAATTCATCGCAACTGGAAGTGTCGTAGTAGTTGAGGGGTCAACAACTGACTTGGATGCGTTATCTCCAAAGAAACCTTATGGAAAACTCCTATGTACAGTTTTAAAATGACCTATTTTTGCCTCTGAGCTTACCATGGAAAGAAGGAACAAGAAAATCCTTAAAAAGGAGCAGGTCACAGTCTCAATATTCCTAATTATTTGTATCATCCTAACAAGAAGGACTCCAGGCAAAAAAAAAAAGTTGTTTTTTTTCTAGTGTTGAAAGTCTATTCTTACTCAGACTACAATAATAATAAATCTGTGCCTAAATTCAGAAAATGAGATCTATACGTAGTCAGTAGGGAAAAAAGAAAACACCTATGACAATTTCCTAGAATATGTATTCTAGGGATAGACATTTAAAGTTAGCTGTCTGAAGTAGATGGTCTGAATGTTCCTTTGCTTCCACTCACAAGCACCATTACTTAGGTCTAAGAAAAAACTATCATCTTGTAGTAACATAGGCTCATAACACACATCTAACACTTTTCAGAAGGAACGCGTTTTTCTCCACTGTAAAATGCAACATCACATTCAGGATAATAACCAATATACACAATCCTTGAATGTATTCAAGAATGCATATATTATTTGATGAATCCACTTTTTGTTACAAGCTTGAAGGCTGACTTTTTTGAAGGACTGAGCACCCATAAAACCCAACATCTTAAAAGTACTAAGCTATCTTTGACTGCTCCAAGCTGTTCAGGCCCTGCTCTGAAAGCCTTCATCACTGGCAGAGTAAAGCAAATATAGACAACTTCTAGACTAAGGGCAGTCGTATGCCACAGAATGTCTTGCAGTCTTATTCTGCTGCTTGTCCATATCTGGACCTGATTGGCTGCACAATGGCTTCTTCCCAGGAAAAGCGTGTTGTATGCAAAGAAGGGAAATGGTGCCCCAGCCTTAAATGGACACTAAACCCAGAAGCCATGCAGAAACCCTTTGAGGTCTCACAGTTGACAAAACAAGCTAGAGAGCACTGAAATATGTATTATTCAAGTCTGAAATATATATTAGAGTCTGAAATATCATGGGCTGCACAAATACCTGCGTATACTCCCTGGATACTTCTGATATCTTCAGTATAGTTTCCTTCTGTATTTTGACCAAATATTTTGTAAGAAAGAAATTATCTAATTTAGCCAAACTGTACCTAAAAGGATATAAGAAACTTCTGGTAGATTTAAGAATGACTGTCAAAAACACGCTGTGAAAAATTAAGAAACCAGAAGCTAAAGCTGTTGTTTACTCTTATGCGTAGGTGACGGGAAAACAGAGGGGAGGAAAATAAGTGTTCTGAGGATATTTATTTTTAACCTTTTCTTACAGCTCTTTTCACAAGTTGGTGCTATTCATATTGAGTGTTATAATCAAAAGGGCTGAATTCAAACACTGTGATATCTTATACAGCTATTTCTTTATATGCCTGAAATAAAAAAGGTTATATTACTGAAATAAGAGTTTTAAAGGGCAGTTTTCATGATGATTGAAAAATTAATATCTAAAAGATTCATTAAATAATAAGGGCTGTATTAGCTTACTAATAAAGGTGTGCTCACTGCAACAAACTTCTGAAATGTCTTTGTTTCTCTTCATTTGTTTCCTATGCGAGTATGACATCTGAGAAAATCTGTTTTCTGAAAAGTAACTTTATTTCACTCTGGCACAATTTACTTTACTTCAGGGACTTCCCCTGGGTTTTTTTTTTTAATTGTTTAAACCATGATCTGAGAAAGTACTTGTAATTGATGGCATCATTAATGTTTGATGGTAAGAAGCAAACTAAATGTTTTCATAGATTAGGGCCCTAATGTATCTCATCACTCTCTTCAAGGCAGTTAAATATGCATTGCCAGATGAAAGACAACATAGAAATAGATGCATTAAAGTCCATGTAGCTACACCGATTTGCTCTTGCTGGAGATCCAGATATTTGAAAGTACATGAGCTGCCCAGATGACACTTTGGCAGCCAGAAGTATTTCTGCTTTCAGAGAAGCTAGGATACGAAGGTAAGACTGACTCTCTGTCATCCACCTAGAGTGTTGCCTTCCCTGTTTATCTCGTTCATGTAAGTAGATATTTGAAATCAAAAGGCTCCTTGTGTTAATAAGGTCAGAAGAGTTTGTTCACAGGTCTGATCCCTCATGTAGGGTGGATTAGAAATCACAGCGCTCACTGTCATCATCCTCACTGCTTTGGTCCTGAATCATTAATATTTAATCATGTGCTTAACTTTAATCACACGAGTAGTTTGGAACACACAAGTGCTCCTAAGCACCTGTATTCACAGGACAAACTTACATGCTGAAAGTTGAAAGCATATCTGAATGTTCTTGCTGAGTCAGTATTTTCAGCTGAATCTGCTGAATCAGTACATTATCGAAAGCTCACTGTAGTCACAGCAAATGTGTCCCATTGATTTTCAGAGGGTTTGGATCAGAGTAACAGCACTGTATATAAGAAACAAACGTATGCAAGGTAACCCTTACCAAGAAAGGAAGACATAACAAAAATGCAGCTGGGAAAAAGGGTAAGAGTTCTTAGGGTGAGCTTGGGAGTGTTTTTGCGATGAAATGAACAAGATACCTCAAGTAACAAAAATCTACTGAAATAAAATGATCTCTTCGTCCCTTCCATTCTTTTCCTCTGACCAATCCAATTGGTAAGAATTCTGTTTCAGATGTAAACTGAAAGATAAGATGGCAGGGATGTGAAAGTGAATGTGGCAGGGTGCTGTATCTCAGAGGTGGTGGAGAGCTGACAGTAGTTTTTCTTCCTTAGATTTCTGTGAAAATTCTAGCCTAAAAAATAGTAAAATAAATAGAAGAATGGATAACGAGATTCCCAGAGGTTATTGTCATAATTCCCAGAGGAATTAGTTGTGTTTTTAAAGAATGTTAGGCAACTAAGAATCAAAGGCAAGTACAGTACGCAGGGGCATTTTCTGCTGCAGCCAAAAAAAAAAAAATCTAAATGTGAGGCCTAATCCTGTCAACTGATCACATAAGTCGTCTCAAAACCTTAAAATTGCGCTTTTTGTGAAATAAAGGGTTGGGGACAAGATCCTCAACTGATATAAAGTCACAAAGCAAGCCAGTGGAGCAAATCAGCTTACAACAGTTGAACATCTGATCTCATGAAACTAGTCAGAAGTACAGGGTGCATCTAACCTACACAACAGAGCATGATGTAAAGACACCCAAGTTAGTAAATATTGGAATCACGAAAGGTATGCAGAAGAGCATGATTTACGTAACTAGCTCAAGGCCTGGGCCAGCCTGGCCATGCCAGTTTGGTGTCCTGCTAACCAGCTTTGCTCAAAAGACTCCATTAGTTCAAGCATCTCCGAACCGTTTCTGTTTTGGAGGCTAGAACAAGATTTCCCATTGATTTTAATGAAAGGTGAATTACTTCAACAACAAAGGCTACTGGATTGAAGTGTATCCGGCAAAGTCAAGCATCATCTGCCAATTACTTCTCTATGCTGGAATGCAGCATAATATGCTACTACTAACATCAATGCGACTACACTACACTACATCAATGTGAATAATGAAGCAGTGGGAACGTTGTACTTCATCTATAAACTGCAAAAACAAAGTTGGGTGATTGTTTAAGTATTATGACTATGCTTATTAATGCAGATGTTTACCACTGTAGATGTTAGACACTTAAACTCTTCATTACATTACAGAATTGATGGGGGCGAGTATCAGTGGACTCCAGAATTTGGCTTCGTGCTGTGGAAAAAAAAAACCTTGATTTGCATCACAGGAGCCTAAAGTCAGCTAGAAGAAGCAAGATTATAATTGCTGTTAAAAATCTTTTAGTAAAAAGGAGGTAACTCTGATCTTCAGTAGTTACTTTTACAGCTACATTTTGCAAAGTTCTTCATAGAGCTCCCAGGCTGCGTTATGCATTGTTATACAGCACCTGACATATGCCTTTAACTGCAGCTACAAAGAATAGCATTCAAGAAATCATCAAGGAATGGTTTAGAAGGCATCAAGAAATATAGAAACTAGCAGCAGGAAGCACTAAAATGTTAATTGTAACTGAAATGCTTATTTTCAAAATCAGCTCACAATTTCAATGTGCAATGACTTTGTCTCAATGTGTTAATATATATATAAGTGCCCTTCATGAAATTATCACAGCATTCATAAGAAAAAAAAGTTTCCTTTAGTCTGAAATCCACAAATTTGCATAATAAATAATTTGGCCCATGACACAGACTAAAAACGTGATTATAAACACTAGGATGAATACACTAAAGGAAAAATAAAAAGTAGAGAAAGTATTTGCTTCTATGATACTGGATAGTATCCAGAAGACAAATTCAGCTCTGAGCTAGTGCCACAGAAGCTAATAGAATTATGCAAGGGAATCATTGACCCTGGTTATTTAATACAATTGTGTCTGGGGAGTTACCTACGGTCTGAGCGTGGGCACTCTCATTAAAGAAGAAATATTTCTACTGTTGGAAGAAAAAGCAATTTCAGACCTGAAAGAATCAAGTTTAAATTTTGCTTATTTTTTTATTCTTCAAGCATTAAGAATACATTCCATGACAGCTGATATCAGTGATTGGATTTTCTGGGCATGAAATCATCCTCATGTCCCACCAGATGAGGTGAGATATGCAGAAGACATGAATAGAAGATACGAGTCTCTGACATTAGAGCACTGGAAGAGGAGAGAAAAAAAAGTGTTTATGGATGAAGAAAGAAAACGGAGTCTGGTTTTACTGAAGGAATTGTGATTTTTTCGAAGATTACAAATGAGCATAGATTTGTATTTTTGCCTTGCCAAATCTTATCAAAACAGTTTAGAACAGAAGTGATGGTATTTACATGACTTTCAGTACAACCAGGCAGTTGACATTACTGATAAAGGGTACCGTTTATTTGGTTGCTTAGCTTTTAACATTTACTTTGCTTCCTATAGGGTTATCTACTTGTAGAGAATTTGAGGGGGTGTATTCCAGAATTTTTACATTGTTTTGAATTTCTATACTTTTTATACTTTTTATACTTTTCAAATTCTGAAAATAATGATCAATTGTTATATTTTTCCTCAATTTTTGTTATATAAATTGGGGACATACACAGAACTTTTTGACAAACTGTAGTTACTATATTCAGCATTCTACATCCTGCATATACAAAATCCAACATCTGATGTTATTTTGAATGTGGCTGATCAAAGACTTAAAATAATAAGATTTTTTAGTAAATGAATATAAGGTTACTGATCATTTAAAATTATGCAAATCCATATAAAATCATAGATTTAAAAGGTCTTCAGTGTTTTATTTGTTTAAGTTTCACCTTTAAATGTGATAAATTGTTCAGGAAAATCTCCTTAGAGAATAGTGTGCAAAAGTTCACATGGAATATTTTTTATTCTTTTTTTCTGGGCAGCTTCCTGCCGTTTTCTTTCAGTTTCTGTTTAAGCACAACATTCTTTGTGCTGCAGCCTCAGGCAATAAACCTCTTAACTGTCACTAAAAGCATCAATACATGATCTTTACTATCCCTGCCAATCCTCTTTATTCTAATGAGCTGGATAGATGGGAAGCCTATTCTTAAGTAGCTAGAGATAAAGTTATCAGTATGCAATTGCTTGTTCTCAGTATTCCTGGGGGGGAAGAGGGAATCACTTGATCAGATCATTGGCACCATACATACATACAGTTCTGCCATATAACTAGAAGAGAAAAGTGCACCATAATATGTTGTTGCTAGAATAATACTTGCTGTACTATAAATTTCTCATCAACGTCAATAAAATACTAGTGCAACTGAAATTCTTGGATATATTTTTGCTGACTGATTGTAGCATATTTTTAAAATTCTCTCTGTTTTGTAGGAGGTCTTCCATTCTTCAAAAAGCGAGTAAGTTTCTAGGTCATAAATTTCTTTGTGAATAGGAATAGTAAGGTTGCATCATACAGTGGATAATATTTTGTGCACATCTTCAGCTGATGCAGCATTTTTAGGGGAAAGATAATAAATAATCAAGAGAGAAAACTGCATTATCTAACATGAAAGAGACCAAAATTTTATATAGTGAATTTTGTTTGGTATGAGCAGTTATAAGGTTTGTCATAAACCCAATACCAATGATTTCTGTTTTCTTAGCTTTCTCTTGTGATAAACGCACATGCAAAACTTTGTATTCTTTAATATCAAATTCTTCTTGTGAGAACCCTCACAGAGGAGCACAGGCTCTGATATTACAGCGACAGAACCTCACCTCTGGTAACAAAAAGGGGCTCAACTTACCAGGCAAAGGCTCCTGATCTGCATAGAGAGCTGGCAGTTCCACACATTTGTCTTCGTTAGGGTTGAACCAGCAGTCAAAAGCTAAATACATCTCTTCATTCGTGCCCGTGTGCTTCATATGCAGTAAATCTAAGTGCCATGGCTGCTTTAAATTGCTATGTGGGCCAGATACCTGAACTTTGTAGACTGAGCCAATACCTGCCAGTTCATCCTATGTGAGAAAAAGAGAAAATGAATGGATCTCATCCTAACTGTGCCAGATCAAATGTACTTGACAGTATATTCGATTGTATTTGTATGTAACAGTTGAACAAACTTCCATAAAAAATTGGAACAGATTTATAACTGCTTCTCCCTTTATAACCTGTTTTCTCCCTTTCTAGCCAATACCAAATTGATCTACTAATCTGAATGAGAAAATGACACTCTAGATGTTTGATAATAGAGAACAAGTGATGGGAGTCACTGCAGAAATTTGTACACGGAACAAAGCATGGTGATTCATATATAATTCAGTAGATTCAGTAGACTGATTCAGTAGACTATTGGCAGACACATAAGTTTTCGAGTCAATTTAAAAAATACTGAACACTACAAGAAATATTTCTTACAATTTAGAGTATAAAAATGAAGCAATCAGTTATATATTTGAAGGAGAATTAATCTAATTTTAAGGAAACATCCAAACTTATTGTTCAGTGTCCTTCTTCTAAACTCCACACTACATTTTCTTAGAGACATTGTGCACTAAAATCTTCCTCTTGCATTCATGTTTGAGAAAGAATGCTGTGGCTCTACTGGGGATTGCACAGCATCTGTATGACTTATACCACTTGGGCAAGTGAAGGTAGAGAAGAGTATAGATGATAATAATTATGTTTTTCAATCAATTACTTGTCTTCTTTTCCCTATTTTGTTCTTCTCTGCTTCTCTTTCACTGCAAATATTGCCCAGATAGTAGAAGTGTATTATTTGACCTGACTTCAGCCTTTCCTCTGACTGGATACTTCCACTTTTATAGTATCTCTTCATATTTAGCAGAGGTTCTCTATTAGAGAAAAGCTACTGGTACTCATTTTGAATCAAGTTTATAGCCTAAGCAGAGAGTTAGGTTCCTCTTTTATTAAAGAATACAAAGAGAAAACATCAATAAACAGCCAAGTATGTCTGTAAAGCAATCATTAAGCACCAGGAAGCAATTTCTTCACTCAAAAATCTAAAGCTGCCTTCTGATGAACTCCAGGATCAAAAGTAACATATTTACTCTCACACTTTGGGCTTTTTGCCATGTCTCGCTTCACATCTACTTTCCTGATTTTCTCTTGCTACCTGCTTCTCCTGTTCCACCAGTCAATCCTGAAGAAACATCTTTCAGAATATGGCTTCATGGACATATTTTTCCCATGCAAAGCCGGCTTGCGAAGCTCCCATTGCCCTGTCTGTCCACTTTTTCCCATTCGCTCAGTCCTGCTATATATTTCTTTCTGTAGCTACACAGTGAACCTCACTAAGGAACTAATAAAGGTAAAAATTACCACTTTTCCAGCAGGGAACAACCATTTCCTCAGAACCCACAAAGAACAACTGAAGGGCTGGTATAGGGGCATGGGACAAGCAATACAAGAACAGGACAAGTACTTCCCTTGAATAGTTCCCGGCCTCCAGTACGTTGTGACTCAGGGATTTCCTGAGCCCAAGGAGGCATCTGCAGTGTTTACCTTCAGGTCAGTTCCAAATTCTACTGGACTGGACATTCATGGAGAGCAAAACCAGAAATGTGTAAGAGGAACCTAGCATTGGCATTAGGGAAGCAATCACAGCTCCAAGAGGGAGATAATAGTGATGAAATAGAAGTAGACCTCAGTTCGATGAAAGTGGATCTCAAATGCTTGATAATATTTCAGTTGATGAATAATAGGAGGAAGTGGAGACAAATGAAGGGTAAGAAAACAGAATAAGAAAGGAGAAAACTTTTAGAGAGGAAAAGGAGTTGAGCAAGAAGAAAAAGAAGTGATCACAACAGGCAAAAAAAGAGTAAAAAACTATGCAGGAGAAGGCAGCCATGAGAAACACTGTGACAGGGATGAATAATTTACACGAAAGAGAAAAATTAACTTTCTGTAAGTTCCATGTCATTTATATCTCTCCTCTCTCCATAATCTACCCAGGAAGCTCTATAGTATCCCAATACATACTGGATATTTACGAGTTGCTTACTTTTGAGAGATCAACAAAATCTGTAAATCAATACCTGCAATTTGGCTTATACTGTGATATGCATGAAAGGAACAATTTGCTCACTTAAAACCCTAGGAGGATCTGCTCATTCAATAACCACTGTTCAAGTGATAGTGTTACTATCTAAAAACAAAAGTGACTCCTAAAGAAAAATCCACTAACAGTAGACTACCAAACTACATAGAGGGCTTGATAATCAATTTGGTAGTTTAGTTTAAAAAATCTATTTATCTCAGAATTAAGAGGGTTATGAAATACATGATTCTTAGGCTTTTCTTGCAATAGAGAAAGGTTAAAGTACTTTGATTTGAATTGCTTTTCCTGTAATTTGAAGTGGCAACTTTTTGTGATTCAGGTCCCCATAGAAGATGAGAGAGAGGTGTATTGGATCCACTTCATCGTTCAAGTCAGATCCAGTGATGTCCATTATCCAGAGACCTGATGACTGCATGTTGATTTCAGGCAGTTTAGGACTAGAAATCAATCTTTTACCTTTAAAAAATGATCAAAGAGAAAGAAGAAAGAAGACTACTGTAAGAGAATGGCATAATATAACAGGACCAGAGGCTTTACAGCACACAAACAAAGCTGTATTTGCAGGTTATGTTGTATCTATGGCAACAGTTCCCTAAGAATAACACATCAATACCTTTACTACATTTTTTTTTTGCCAAGAATTTAACAGCTTAATGTTCTTTCTGTGTTTAAACTTTAGTTTCCGAGGTATTTTTTTTTTCTTGATGCCAAGTTATTTTCCTTGTCATTTTTTGAAATAATTATTAAGAGAGCATCCAGTCTCCTTTTAGGGTCTAATTAGTTGTTCTTAAAAAAACAATCAATGCTACTAAAAAACAATTTATCATTTGGAAGCACCAGCCATCTGTATCCTGTAGACACCTAATGCAAAATATCACCAATGAACTGCACTTGTAACTGGATCTTATCTAGCAATATAACACCTGCTGTAATAGCGTGAGACTGACAGGTGAACATACAATAAATACACAAAAACGTTTGCCAGATCCTCAAAAGATCAATGTTACTATCCCCTTCTTTTCTCTATTAATAACTGTTTTCCTTCATTTTCACTCTCTTTTAACCATTCTATGAGGAAAAAATGATTTAATGGAAAATAACAGCTTAGTAAAATCTACTTTCTACAACTCAGAAAAAAAGCAGTGCAATCCAGGTAACTGTGTACTATCATGGACACATTATGTTTTTAAGCATCTTGTTTTACTCTGATCAAATTTGTGAAGCTTATTTACTTTACATGGAATTGTTTTTACAGGATGGAAGGAAAGAATCTCTTTCTACTACTTGTAAATGGTCAAAGGTCCTGCCACTTCCATCTGTCAGTATTCTTTTGCCAAATACATCCAGGTTTAGAGATGCATGACTTCTGGAGTGGTAGGCTTCAAATGAGCAGAAACGGAGCATACTAGAATGATACTGTAGCTCTGCAGTGTGGAATAATACCACAGGTATGACTAGGATCATTTCACTACAGTAACTTTTCTCTGGATTTGAAATCAGATCCTAGAGAACTGGAAAGTAGCGCATAAAACTTAAGCCATTATCACCCTGAAGCATATGTCTCAAATTATAATACCTGTATTAAATCTTTCATTGCATTGTGCTAAATTCAATCCAGAAGGCTGGTATTCCATACACAACTCACTGACAGCATTAAATTTCATTATCTTTGACCTTAGCAGATGTGATTTTACTATAATAGTAAAATCAAGCTGAAAATTCACGACGCTATCAGGAAAATAAAGATACTATAGAAATCTGAACGAGTTGTAGCCAAATTCAAAAAAATATATAAACAGGCAGAAAAGCTTACCAACTGTCAAAATTTCACAAACAGTCTCACATAATCCCAGGTGAGTATCAAGCCAGTTCCAACATGGGAAGACCCATTCTTTGTCTGAGTCCTGAGACTCCTTGACCGTTACCATCTTGAGGTACATCCCAGCCCCATATCCTTCTCCGTCGTGTTGTATGACCACTTTTTGCAAATGACTCAGAGAAACAGCCTCCACCAAAAATGAATCCACCTGCAGAAAGTGGAAGCACTTAGTACAGCAGAATGTTTGCCTTTTAAATATATACAAATAAAGAGACAACACAGAAAGATCAGCAATCTGAGATGAATGCAACCCAGAAGTTTGGACCTTAATATGCTTGAACTTCAAGGAAAACTTGGTCCTGGATTTGGCTCAGGGTTTAAAATCTGTGTTTGTATTTTTGTAACATAACATCTGTTTTTAACATAACATCTCCCCTCTGAACCTAAGAAAGCAAACACCAACGCTTAAACAGCAATGTCTTAGATTAAAATTAGACACCATCATCCCAATAAAACATTGATTCAGTAATAGGAATTTACTAAACCAGATTACGGGACAACAGAAAGAAGATGCTAGCAAAGTGACCTCTAAAAAATGTATCACTTGCCAAAGTCCTACGTGCTGTCAGCGCCACTTTTAAAATAAAAAATAATAGAAATAGCTTTTCTATTGCTAACATTACAAATGCTTTTGTATGACAAAAATATCAATTTTCTATTTAACAATAGCCAAGACTCAACAGCCAGATTGTAAGCAGAAATCATTAACATTTTTAATCACTGCATTTTAGGGAAAAATCTGTGCGTGAAGTTAAATTAAAGTAATTATTGCACAGTGCTCCCTTCTGCATATAGGCATAGCCCTGAGATGTAGAATGTAAAAAGTCTATCAGATTGTTATTGTATCCAGTTTTACCCTACCAACTCCTATTGCAATTGTGCAATGAAATAATGTCACAGAAATCTGAGACTCTCTTTCCTTGACAGTGGATGTCTTGGTAGTGAGTAAAAATAAGATCATCTGCTTTTTCATACTTAATTGTTCAGGGAGTGAACCTCTTAGAAGAAAGAGTAACACACAGAAGTAGAAATGTCCTATTATTACTCATCTAAAAAAAGAGTTTTATGTGCATTCTTTAAGGGGAATTCTCCTGCCTTTACTGAAGTTATTGACTAAACATCAAGTTAGTGTTTCACATGGGGAATCACAGTTACAGAAACATCACTGAAGGCACGAATCTCACAGCAAGTTTTGTGACTAATTTTGTATCTGTAATTTTGAATTCTTAGTTATCTGTGCCGTCCTACATTTAGATTGGAAGCTTTAAGAGGCATGATCACAGAGGTTCTCCGCGGTAATATGCTTCGTATGTGCTCATATGGAACCTGATTATCATGTGGGGATGCACTTATTCAGGCAGGAGATAACGTTGGCATAGGTCTGCTATAAATATCTAGAAGAAAAATTCTGTTCCCAGATTGAACATCAGTTGGCAAGACACAATTTGAGCAGGCATTAAGTGATACAGAGAAGGCAGTACTAGCCCTGCATACGTAAGACAGCATTTTTGTGCCTTTACCTTGTTCCTTTGAAATTTTCTTCTGTTTGCTAAAGATGTGTGAAGTTTCCTCACACCTGTGTCCCCTCTTTTGCCATAGAGAGTGATATAAACATTTGCAAAGGTTTCTGCTCCCCAGCGGTCACCAGTGTGTACAGAGACAACATACTTATAGACTGCAAAAAAAGAATATTGTTTAATTAAAACAGGCCAAGTACAAGGGTATGCCTAAAGGAAAACAGCAAAATGGATTATTTAGTAAGATTACTGCTTGTTCTTATTTCTGCACTCACAAAAATGCCTGCTATATAGTGATAAAAATAGTCAGGGTATTATTTGTGATTCTGATCTCTCCTTCCTTAAGTCAATGAATTCTTTCCATTGACTTCCTTAGGAATTTTAAGGAAATTGAGCTCATACAACTTAGACCTATGCAACTTAGAGTTATAAATACAAATTCTGTCTAATCCTATTTTACTGTGCAAGATCTAGAAAATAAGAACTTGGCTGAGATCATTCAGGGACTGTCAGAAACTGAATGGTCTTTGCAGTAGTTAATCATCATCACAGGTCAAAGAATAAGCCACTATGTAAAGTTTATGCAAATTAGAATAGCAGAGACAGCTATGGCATAGGATAGGAATGCGCAACCTGACATGCAAATACAAAAATTTCAAAAATGCACTTGTTAATTTAGGGTGCTTGAAAGAAACTATAATACTTTTTGCCTCTTAGTGCTCCTGTATAAATGCACTTTCTGCTCTCAGTCTCCACAGTCGGACTGGATTTTCTTCTGAGAAGAATCATTAAATTGCAGGTGAGTTCACACTCATACAGATGGAATGATCAAAATTTTTCACGTGTCATTTTTAACATATAGTCCAGCTGAGTTAATATTTAACTATCTTAATGCTAGTTTCTTTTAAGGTCACAAATACGTTTGAGCTATTGAAGGACAAGCATTGCTGGAACATTAGTTTAGAAAAGCAGTCCTGTCTTTAATTATGTTTATCTCATGTGTAACTGCTATCTTTTCTGAGTAAATGCAGTACTTTTATGGGCCTTCACTTTCCAAGTGCATTTCTGAGCATACTCTGAAAATCTCAGAACATCACCAAATATCCTTAGGGAAAAACAAACATGAAACTTTTTTGTACAATGGAGGATTACTTCTGATACTGGAGTTAGCAATTAAAGCTATTATAAGCTAAATAATTCAATAGTAAATCTACCACAAATCATTTCCATGGCTTTGAACGTGTGTTTTATCTTTAAAAAGTATAATTATATCCTCAATTTTGCACACTTAGAATTATGCAGAAGATTTACCAACTGTGAAACCCAATTTGCCATTTAACTGGAAAATGAAATTTCTTAAATGGTCAGGATTTTTGCAGCTCATGTACAGTTGCCTTAGAGTCATTGAAGATACTGAATCCAGAAAAAGAGCTATGTGGCTATAGTACCGATTTCTTTTCAAGAGGTTGGTTCACGTAGTTCGTATCATTCCATTATTTTTACCTGGTAAAATTTTCTTGTCTTCATTCACTGCAGGGAATTCTTTCACCAGCTCCCTGCCTTCTCTGTTAAGAGAGAGCCAGCAGCTACAGTCAAAGTTCAATTCTTGTTTTGTATGTAGCTCTTCTATGTGAAAAGACTTCAAATGCCAACCCTCGAAGCCTGGCATATCATCACAGCTAACCCGAATCTTGTATACATCTCCCACATCTCCAGTTTCAATCTGCAATAAATATCATGAGGAAGAGTGTATTATCATGGCTGCTTCACTTCCAGAAAGTGTAGGATTCCTTCAATTTACATTAACCAATGGGAAAACTGAATCTGAGGCTAGGATAGGAGTGGTGACGGAATCGATCCCTCTTTTTCGTGGAGCCCCTGTATGATTATGGCTGAGATTGCCTCTTCTGTTTTCCTCTGTTCCATTTTTAGTAATGTGAGGATGATACTTTGCCAGTAGGGTGAGTCAAGATTGAAATCAATAAAATCTACATTTAAGCTCTTTAGGCAAAAAATACTGTGTAAAGCTTTGATCCTACTGGATAAGGAGGGACTTAGCTCCAGTTAAAGGCTCTGATATCAGGAGGAAAGTGAGGTATTATAACTAAAGACAATTACCATTAGCCTAGAAAGTTTTATCTCAGTTCTCCTTTGCAAAATGATTGAATTTAAAAAATCAAAGTACTATATATTCACTTCTATGGAAAAGAGAAGTGATTTTTCTGCATAAAAGTAAATTATGAATGTTACAGAAATAGCCCTGCAGAACAGAACAGCCCCATTCCCACATCAGGTTTAGGAAATTCAATATCTGCTTGCTGATTGTGGGCTTCTGGGAGACCTAGGTAAACCCACCCAGCCGAGGGCTGTGTGAATTTGGGGTGACCCAACCACATCAAGTGCTAATGATTTGCATTACATCAAATGCTGCACAATAAGCACCTTCTGAACTCCAGAAAGTGGAGTGCTGTAGCCTTTCACAGGCAACTGCAAGAAAGAGAGGGCAGGGGGGAGGATTTCAAGTGAGAAAGAAAACAAAACTGTTTTTTTTTTAAGATAACAATTATTTTTAAGGAGGATCAAAATAGAAAATGTTGCCAGTGGCCTTGTTCTTCTCTCATATTGCAGATTTTGCCAGATCAGTCACCATATAAGCTTTGGCAACTGATGCTAGGAAATAAATCCTTAACGCCCTCAGCAGCATAGCGGTAAAATATTGAAGTTAGTCTTGCACAATCCTGCCCTCGGATCACCGGTAGACTGGCTCTTAAGACAGAGCACAGAGCTCCTCACAGCCTAATTTATTCTACTTCTCAAGCAGGGCTCTGCGTTTGGCAGACCTTGATCGCTGACCTAGCTTGCTTAAAGCTAGTTTTTGCGCCTTTGCACAGTGGAGACATACATGCCAGAAAGCATCAGCCACCTTATTCGTATTAGGGAAGAACAGTGTAAAAAGTATGTTTTTTGTCATTCAGGGAGAGAGTTGGCCACCTTCATCAATAAAGGCTTTGCAGATAAGAAATAGTAAAATGTCAAAGTATTAAGAGTAATGGTTAATCAAAAAGTGTCAACCTCACAAAATCATTTTACAAGAACTTGAACCGTTCATGGAGTGGAACGTAAGAAAAGCGGCCTGTGATAACAAGGAATTGCCCTTGGTGACTTACAAGAACGCTTCCAGTCCAAATTTCTTTAGAGAAGTGTTATAAGGGTTTGCCATGCCACTCGTACAAAATAGCAGGACACAAGGCACTGTTCTTTAAGGACCAGGGAAGAATCTTTCTCACTGTCTGTAAAACAGCAGTAGCATGGTTCTGTGATGATCCTGCAGTCCTGAGCTGCAGGGAATCTCTTAGCTGCTTAACCATAACTCCACAGTAGCTACATGGCAGTAGCTTTGCATTGAAAAAGGCACCAAACTTGTCCTCCCTTGTAAGCCTAGCCTGCCCTGCCTGCCATTATTCAAGGCCATCCCATGGCACTGCAATGCACTTGCAAGGGGGCTTATGCCTCTTGGATTTAGCACACCCTCACAGAGTCCTGGCTTGGTCTTCATCGTTGCTCCATGAAAAGGGAAACGTTATGTGGGTAGCATTTTATATCAAGAGTTTTTCATTCATGCTGTGTATGCTGCAAAGCATATCATTAGCCCTGGTGCACTAAGTGGTCTAATTCCTCCTAAAAAGTGCACATTCATGTCTTATTAAACTTAATGGGAACTATTTGGATTCATCAAGAGGAGAGCGCACAGCTTCTTCACGCATTTAAATTATGGTTCCTTCAGAGGCAATAAAATCATTGCTTCTGCTCTTTCACAACCAGACTACTGATTTATAAAATTATTGCCTGCAGATTTTCTTTCTTGCAGATGGACCTCATGACTCTGTATCACTGAGCTACTCTAAATGCCATGCACTACTTATTCCATAAAGCTCTCTGCGGTTTAGAGTTGCAACATGACAGAACTCAGTTATTTTTATTTAACAGGGCAAGTTTCACCTTACGTTTTACTTTGTCTTCTGCTACTCAAATTTGCAATTTTCTAGATGTTTACTGCAATTCTTGTAGGAAAAGTGCAGATCATACATACAGGAAAATAATTCCAGAATGCAGGACAGACTATTTAAAAGTTAGTGTTCTCCTTTCTTCTTCTAGAACCACAATTTCAGTGAAATCCGTGACTGCCTTTAAACCAGAAAGCATCAGTAACCTTACCATCTACAATCTGTTGAATTAAACAACACCAAATATTTTAATTTGAGTGCATTAGATTGATAAAATCTTAACAGAATTGATAAAATATTTACAAAAGGGTACTGTTTTCCTCATTTTTCTTCATGATTCAAATTTTCTAGTTAATTTTTCCACATATATTTCTTATGAATAGTTTTGCCTAATATTCAGTACTTGAAATCTGAGCTGATTTGGACTCAGCTAAATAACACAATATTGTTTGCCTTGCATGGTTGAAGGAGGATAGCTCTTATAATCAAGAGGACGCCTTGATGAAGCCACCAGGATTTTGAATCTGTCAGAAACAGGTAATCAATGGAAATGATTAGAGACTTTCATAATATTTTAAATCTTTTCCTTTTTGAATCACAAAGGACTTCTCCGAAGGCATCAAGCCTAAAGTAATTAAAGGTTTGCAAAATTTACTGTCTGGGTCCACGTTAAAATTAAATTCTCTATCACTTCCCTGCAAAAAGATACACATGCATGAATGATCCGCATTATAGAGGGCATGGTCAAATCATCCTAAAGTTCAGCTAAACAGCTTTCTGCCATAAACTCCAGAAATCCTGCTCTTTGTTGTTTGAAGCATCATCCCACACTGTGGAAAACATACAAAGTATTGAATTATGCATTTTTTAATTTTCTGTCCTCCTTTTAGCCATTAATATGAAATCTAGTTCATATTTATGTTGTGTATTTATGCATGGGTCTATTTTCAGAGCTTTGTGGTCACAGCACTATGGCTTATTTCATACTGCTTGTGCTAGTGCTGGGATCCCAGTGCCAAGATCTATCCAGCAATGTCACTTTGCATTCTATGATTGTCTGGATAATAGAACGTGCTCTCCAAAGGTAGTCTTTAACAAACTTTTTCTGTAAGTAGCAAGAAACACACTGGAGTTTAGAAGATGCATATAATTTACAAATTTCCTTACTCCATATGATATCAGCAATTGATCTCTATCATTGTTCAAATATCAAGGAGAAAATTTATTACTGCATAATTAGTTTGCTTTCATTTTCCCAGTTAGTTTTCAATGCATCTGTTCTGTTCACTGTAGAGAGCGTGGTTTTCTGCCATGCTATCTCTAATGCTAAAACTCCCAGCAGATACAATAACATAGACACTTTCTTTTATTTCTCAGTTTATTTATTAGAACCAACGTGTTCAAATTAAATTTGTTTGCACATAAGCAGCTCATTCACTCTACTACAGCTATCTGAGCCCACCAAAACCAAACAACCTAACCTGCTAGTATGCTGCTGTTTTATCTCTTTTAGCAATTTATTCTTTACATTTGCTGTGTGCAATTAAACTACACCTGTTCTTTCATAGGAGATGGTTAGGAGTATTTTGGACCAGATAATCATTCCGAATATGATACACATCTGTGTATGCATTTCTGTGAGAGCACCTGGAAAATCAGGAATGTAGATGCATTCATGTCCTAAGTGTACAATAAATACAAAATTAAGCCTACGGTTTCAAAACAATGTGAGCTGCTTATAGTACATAACCTGTTGTTCTTTTTGCTGCACTATGTTACTAAGGGCATTTGTCGAAGACCAGGACCTTGAAGAGTTTTAGCAGTTCATTTCCTTCTACTTCTTCACAGCCCTTCCTCCCTGTGACATCATATTAGGCTTCCAACATACTGCTGCAGTGGGAGAAGGTGAGCAAAGCTTCTGTATTATTTCAAATAGCTTTAGTAAGAATAAAGAGAGAGTAAAAGGAAACAGGATATATTAGCTGAACTGGTTCTAAAGAAGGTGGTTTCTGAAAATATCCCAAAGCAAAACCCCAAGTGCTCATTTATATCAGGCCTACTATTCTGACCTCCTTAGAATGGCACACAAAACCTACACTGTAGGCAATATAGCAAAGAGACAAAACTTCGTGCACAATAAAGAATGCTCAGATAGTATTAAAATTTTGATACAAAGCAACAAAACCAAGGAGAAAAATATAGGCGTTAATCCAAAGCCTATCCAAATCATGAACAAACATTTAAAAAGCTATTAGGATGGAACTCCATTATGATGGAATATGGTACAAAGAACGGTAGAATAGCAGAGACAGTCAGATTAATACATAACAATGCTAGTTTCTCCTAGCGTGTCAGTGAAATTAGGTGATCTTAACAAGCAATACATGGCATTTAGGAAATTACTGAAAAGTTGGATGTAGTCTGCATTATGCAATGATGCTTGTCAACTGGTGTGGCTGTTCTGAAGACAAGACTCTGCCTCTATTGACCTCTCTAGTTTATGTCGATGGGTAAGGAAGCTCCTTTTGTTGTTCAGTCTGTTTTCTGATAAGCAGCTAGTTTCTTGTCTTTAACAAGTGCCATTTATCTTTTCATTTATTCCCAGTAAAGTTTCTAAATTGTATTAGCTTGTTATTTAAATTAATAATTTAGCCTGGATCAGGTCATTATGATGAAGTTCTGATACATCTGCTTGACAACACTTTCTGAATGTAGTTTTGCCTTTGTTTTCAGAATGTTTATTGCAGCCATTTGAATGTATTTCTGAACTTTATAAAACTGCCGTGAATGCAAGCTGATTCTTTCTTCTAACTGGCTAGAAGCTAAACTTCCATGCAATCAACAGAATTTGTAGTGACTTAGCTTAGAAAGTCAGGACAGAATCTGAGCATTAAGACACCTTAGATACTCCTCTCAAAGCAGCAGGATAAGTGTGAGGTGTACAGACAGTCCAGACTGTGTTAGTGCTGTTTTTAATACTGGCCATGTATATGTTATTGCTTCAGGGCTCATCACACTTTGATAGGCTTGAACGGATTCTCCTGTGATTTATGATTATTCAGAAAAATCCTATGTGCCTGCTGGTCTGAGAGACAGAATCATGTTGGAGGACAGTAGAGACTGCTTTACAAAGACTGGAATAATGGAAAGAAAAGCTCACTTATGTCCTCTGGGCATACTGTCCAAATACGTTATCTTCTGCATTCTCTAGTAATTGTATATTGCCTTTCGTATAAACTGCAACTCAGGATTCTTTAGAGAATGGAAAAAATACAGGACAAGAGCTGATGAATGCAATAAATTATACAAAAGAGATCATTTCTCCCGTTGAAACACACTCTTAAAGGCACTGAACATTCAAAGAGAACACTATATAGCTGGCTTACAAGCATAAGGTGGCTCAAGATCTAAAGTCATACTATTCCATCTTTGTAAATAAATAAGTCATTTGCAGCAAGAAAACTAGCATTCCATATATATATATACACATACACACACATATATATACACACACACATATATCCATATATATACACACACATACATACACACAAACACACACACACATATATATATATGTCCTTTGGTTAGAGTGGAATGTCATGATAATCTCTCTGTAGTATTGTGTATTTATGACTTACAATGAATTCATCTGTTGCTCTGGGTAGAAAGCATACAGATCCTGGGTTTTGTGGAGAAAGCAGAAGGTCATCACTTTTGCCCTTTGAGCCATAAATCACAAGGGTCCTTTTACACTTCTGTGGCTCTGGGGAATCTCCATCTGTTTTAACCCGCACTCTCCACTGTTGTGCTAAATAAAATGAAAATATCATCACATATTTCATATCAAGGGAGGAGAGTAATGGATATCTTCATTATTATTACTACAAAGAATGTAAAGATTGCTATGAATTTGCATACCGTTTTATAAAAATAGGCACATATTCCCTCTATGGAACACAATTATAATTTAAATAAGACTTGATAAAAACAAGACAACTGTTGAAGTGGGTATACCAGCTGAAATCAATATCAAGGAAGCAAGAAAAAGAATCTTTGGCTAGATTTTTGCATTCTCTATAACAAATTAGTTGCTTTAATTGCAGTAATTCATTTATTACATCTTACTCCTTAAAGTGTTCATGCACATACTATGAAAAAGAAGACTAGTATATGATCCATGCTTAAGAATTGCCTGCTGGAATACACAACTAGTCTAGTCAAATAATAAAAATTAAACCTCTTTTCTCCAATATTTCTAACCTAATCTGTCATGCTCAGTTTGCTTATTTGTAGGAGAAGATCATTCATTAGGGTCCAATCCAAAATCTAGGTAATTCAAATGAACTGCTTTCATTGACCTCAGCCCATGGATTGGGCCTTTCAGAGATTCTTTTTGATAGATGACATATAATAATGAATGTAAATCCAGAATGCAACTGAGAATGTGTATTAGAAAGGATTCATCTTTTCTATTCAAAATGTGGCAGAAAACCGTTCAAAGTGTGGAAAAAATACGTCTGAGATGGACTTTATAGACTAGAAAGATAATTAACTGGTTGAATGCAAATCTTCATCTGAGTTCAAATTGAGTTTTTTGTAGAAAAGACACTCGATGCTGCATGGGCAAGAGGAACTGAACAGTGAAAGGAAATCAAAACCCCATGCTTAGAATGTGACCGGTACTGTGATAATAACATAATTTGCTAATGGAGTTAATAGGAAGAAGAATATTCCATGAACGTGTGTAAGCCTATAATGCAATGTATTGACAGAATAAATGTTAAAATAGTTTAACTTGCAAATAAATTGGATTTGTTTTTTTTTTAACGTGCCCTGCACTTTTTTCATACCTTTTGTTTTCCTCCACTTGTTTGGAGGTGGAGACTGGGTGAAAATCTGTTCTGGTTTTCTTCGTTTATAATTTTTTCCCTGTTCTTTGCATTGTTTTATTTAGCTTATTCTATCTTCCCCTTGTTATAGAAGCTTTTTCTGAATTACATCTGATTGTTCCCTGATTCTTCGGGCTCAGCTACAAAACAGCAGGCGAATACACGTCTCACAGGCAGTCGGCTGAGTAAGATGCTAGCTGAAAGGATCCCTCCAGCTGAACTCTTTTTTTGAGGTCATTTCCAGGAATGAGTCAGACCTTGCCTAATGAGGAACTGTTGTTGTTTAATATGCATGCCAGCTCTGAATTTTATCTCCTTGTGCCAGGTTGGCATGTGGTACCCTTTAGGGTGTCACACTTGGGGAAGTCAAGCATCGTTTGAGCTTCTGCCATTCCTGAGCACTCTAAGGCCTTACAAATTCAAATTCTTACAAAGACTCCCACCATAGCCCTCAACCTCTTATCCGCTCCAACCATGTCCCACGTAAGCGCCTTCCATTTTGAAGGGTGTCCCAGGTACACAGCAGAGAGAAAATTAAGATAATTTTGCCACATGACACATTATAGTGTCTCCCTGGTGAGCTTTCCTTTTCTCACTGTAATTCTCCTCTGCTTCAGCAAAGAGCGAGCCCTAAGTTAAGAGAAAGCAAGGATGCCTATCTGCCTGTTTCCTGCTCCAAGAAGCAGCACGTTTGGAGAATGCATTTCAGGAAACGTGGTTTACTTTAATTAATATCCATGACTGCAGTTTTAATTATTATTTCAGAAGAAAGGCTAAGACACCAGTTGGGAGTTTTCCAGGAAATGAATCAGTGGTTAACAGATTTAAGGCCTCTTAGCATCCTGTTCGCCTACATTTACTTTTAATGCTTCCACACCTTGGTAACTAAGCTAATCCAGACTGACTGCATTTTCTCTCAGTTCAGCAAACTCATTTCAATCTGCTCATGCCAGAGTAAGGAAAGAATGTCTTGTCTAATATTATATTCCCTTAGACTGCTACGTGGTAAGGATGGCTACACTAGAAAGAAGACTGATTGCAAATACCTATTTGTTTCAGCGATTTCTATATCTTTTTTCAGCAGATTCCAAATACCTCAGTAACATCTGAAAATTAGATAGCTGAGTCTGAGTATGTCATTTTCTGCACCTCATACACATGGCCATATAAAAAGGATACTTTTCCCCTGATATCACTGAACTGCATTAGCTTCATTTCAAAGTGATTAATGCTAGTGTGTTATTTTACTTTTAGGTTATGTGCAAAGCTATAGCCATTTTCTTTGAGAAAACAGTATGAGACCGTTTAAATGAATGGCAGAGGGAAAATAGACTTCTATGAAAAAAAACTTTCATGTTGCTCCAGAGATGCATGGATCCTTTGTTGACTTTAAGAAATGAAATGGGATCAACCATAACAAAATCCCTCCAGAAAGCCTTTCAACCACTACTTTGGAATCTGAAAGATGCTTGCAGCATAACTGGGAAAATCAAACCTGCAGCGACTTCTGCACATAGCAAATTGGGTAGGGTAAAATATAAAATTTATATTTTGTAAGGTAATTGAGAAAATTGAAAAAGGAAGGCTAGATTTTCCCTTTTTTTTTCCTTAATACGAACAACTTATACATTGTTAGAAGATTGACACCCTTGTTTTGAGGACATGGTACTCTAGCTTTCTTTACTGGTGGTTTTTGGACTTAAAAGCTAAAATGGCATTCGCAGTTCGCTAGATGTAGGAGTAGGCTGCTTATTTCACAGAAATTGTAGAAATTTGTGTTGCTTGGTTTACTTGTCTTACAGGAGCTAGAGGTAGACCAGTGAGACTATCTATCTTGTTCCTATTTCTTTAGGAAATTCAGCCTGTCCCTGGCAATATACATAGTGTCCTTGATTTTTAGAAGCAAGACCAATCTATTTATGTTTTGGGGATTCTGTGATTATTCTTACTCAATTAGCAAAAACTCACAAGGTAGGGAATGATTTATAAACAAAGGGCATCACAGGAAGAATTTACTGTATGTTTTCCCTTCTCTTATGAATTGTCTGTATGTCTTAATGCCAACAACCTTGCATGACACACGAAAATCTAACCTTTTCATTGATGTTGAACTATATTTTATATATCACCCACAAAAGCCCACAATACCACAAGATACCTTGTGATCCTCACTACAGGAATTCAGCTCCTTTTAACTAACTGCAGTACAGACAACACTGTAATATAGTGTCTCGTCTCTTTGCTTTGAGAGAAAATCCCTTACTATGTGCTGTTATGGTACTCCACCTATCCTGAAGGGAGGAAAAAAAAAAGAGAAAAGAGAAGGAGGAAATAGTAAATATTCCTCACAGTATAAGAAACTTAGAGAGTGATGAAAAGTCCCATTGTCCCTCAGAACATCTTCATCATTTAAGAACTGAAAGTAGCTATCCATCTTCTCTACTAAGGAGATCTTTAAGCCTTTTCTCTTGCATCAAGCATACATGGCAGGATCAAGAGAGTATAAATAATTCTGCTATTGTGCTTGATTTGATAGAGTTTCTCCACAATCTATAGATGATACTGAGAGAAGTTAATATGGATCTACTGCATTTAGGCAGAATCCACAGCCACCAGCAGTGTTTACAAGGAACTGGAATTTCTGCTTCATTACAGTTGGCAAAATGCCAGCTGACTGAAAAAGAACCGTAAGCCCTCAAGAAACCTGCTCAGCAACGATGACTTTCAAACTCTACTTTTTTGTTATGTGGTTGAGCAGCTTATGAGCCTTATCCAAAGAGAATGAGACTTCTGACCTTCACAGCGACTTATTGAGTGTTCTGTTTTGTAGCCTTTGCTTTAGACCTGACCTAAGCACATTGATCACTTTTCTGAAAATCACCAAACAATACTGGATTATAACAATCAACTTTTTAAATGACTTTTCCTGAACTCTACTCGCAGAGTGTAGCTGATACAGAATATGACCACATGAATACATAAAAATTGGCTGTGTAACATCAATACTCTGCTGCTTGCCTCATATTCAGCAAATGCATAATAAATACAGTTTTCACTTCCACTGTGAATGGGACTGCCTGTCACAATTATCTGCTCAACCCTCTGAAATCACCGTTACAGCTGCTGGGAGAATTTAAGGCAAATACTTTTTGCATCTCTGGAATTTTCTCTAATCAGCTCTAACCCTAGTACTGTATCATGATGGATTGACACAGAACTGTGTACAAGACTTCTTTCTTAACCTCTTTTGCTGGTTACAATCCTGTAAAGCTCAACCTTTTCATGTGCAAGATCTACAAGATAACCAGTAAGATAACACATATTAAAATGTGAACAATCCTTAGATCTGTTTTACTTATCATCTCTTTTAAATAAGGCATAAAAAGCATGATCTCTCAGCTGTCTCAGCTCCTCACTGAAGCAATCTCCCGGGTAAAGAAAAGATGTCTGAAGAGGAGTTCAAGCTAACCTGATGCACAGCTAATTGGTAGAATGCCCTCTAACAAATGTTCTCTTTCTTAAATTCTTCATTATTCAGAACCTCAGATCTCATCCTAATAAATCAGCATACACTTTTTGGATCTTCCTGGACACCTTAACAGCGTGAAGTTCCACTAACTGATTAAGAATAAGTTGCTCCTTTCTCTTCACAATCAAAATATTGTGCCTTATTCTTCTTGACATGTACAAGCTCTTAGCAGTCTCTGCAGCTGTACCTGCTTATTGTAACTTAATAAAAAATGAAGCTGCGCTGGAAAAAAACATATTAGTTCCAAAATATGGTTTATTTTCTGAATATAGGGTGAAAATTATATATGGATGCATCTGAGAACTGTGTGCTTAACAGAATGCAGAATCCAATTCCAAGTCGCTCTTGTGAAAATCAAACATCTCTATGGGAAAGTCTTTATCTACCTGAGTTAATCAGCCTCCTCTTGTAAAAGTTACGATACCCTGGAACAATGAAACTGTTGACCAAACTGACTGAATGCAAGAGATTTCATTTTAATGGGAAAAGGAATTAGACTGAGAGATCAGGACTCATCCTACAAAAGGCAAGTCACCGTTTTCAAAGGTGAATGAAAATATTACTTCTTTTACTTTAGTTTCTCCCATAGCGCTCGCAGACACAGTTACAGAGAATATGCACTTACAGTTAAAATATTCATAAAGAAACTTGTATTAGTCTGTTTCTCTTTCCTGGCTAGGGAAAAATACAGAGATGATATATCAAATTCCCCTCATTAACTGTATACCCCCGACTTGCGAGGTGCTAGCATTTTTCAATGATGGGACCATCTTTGTAGGTATATAAATAAACAAGTGGCTAGCTTTTTTTTAATATGTTTTATTAATTCAGGTAGTCTTTGTCAATTGAATGAAATTACTGCATGTAGTAATGCAGTCCATTAATTACCCATTAATGGACTTGGAGCCTAAGCCTGCATCATTTCTGGCTACTTGGGGAATAGCTTGATGGACTTTGACCTGAAAACTTTTCCAATGACATTTCACAACACATTTTCAAGTTGCTGTTGTTTGCTAAGGGATCTATCCCCTCGTATTAAATGACAGTAGCACTGGGATGAAAAAAACAATTCTTGAATCTCTTCTGAGAGAAATTCCTGGCTGATTTTGGTATAGAATAGTAGAAATGGGAAAAAAATCAGAAATGGTTTGAGAAGTATCTTTTCCTCCATTACTTTAAAAGACTTGTCATTTTTGTAGATCTTTATCAGCCAATTTGTATTCATTTTCTCTCACAATTGATTGTTTACATATATGATGAGAAAGCTAATCTGCTCCACTTATTTGTCACTTAATACTAATTTGGAGGTTGAATTCGAATAGCCAAAAAAAAATTGTATAGAAAAGAATTCTTACCTTTGGAGAATGCCATCTTCGCATTGCTATATTCTAAAATAGGAACAACAAAAATGTTTTATGTGAGCAAGCTTTATTATTGCTTTTCTTCTTAAGTTATGGTCGTATTCAGGAAGTTCTTCAGTAACAACTAGGCATTGAGCATATACTATATTGTTACGATACAAATTTTCTGTAAGAAAATACTTACTTTTGGCAGTTAGCTCTCTTTCAGTTTTCCCATCATCTTGGTATTCATCTAACCATCTTTCATTGCAAAAAAAAAAAAAAAAAAGATTAATAACAATCATCATTCGTATTACAAGTGATCTCACAATTACCTGCACTCTCTTCAACAGCATTTTTATACTTTTTTGCCAAATTAAGCTTTGAAAATACTTCCTAGACCTAATTTTATTTTATACTTTTATCATAGTTAGCATTATTCATGTTCAGGGAGAATTTGGCTCACTCTATTACCAGCAAAAAATAGAAATTTTCATGGAAGTTAACACCATACGAAGTACTAAGTAGTTACAGGATCAATATTGAATTGTACATTTTTGAGGGAATGGTATATAACCTCAAATGTTCAGTTATATTCATTGTACTTGTTATATAACCCCTGGAAGGAATATTTCAGGCCCCAAGTTTGGAAATTTCTAGATCTTCTATAGTTAGTCAGCAATAAACTGAATTTCCTTTTACCTTTTCTTTTCTTCCATTCTGATGAATTTAAGGAGCTCTTTCTGAAATCTAATTTCACTACAAAAACACATTCATACTCCTTCAGTTGATCCCCCTTGCTGATATAATAACACTTTACATCCATTAACAATCTCTCTTATTTAAAAATAAATAAATATGTGCTATCAACATCCATTCTATCGGCTCCATGCTGATACAGCTCTTGTTCATACCCAAGTATCCAATAATATATTTCATTTCTTCTATATAACAAAACTATATGAATAAATCTCTTATGCATGAAGACTTGACACAAGGGCAGCACTTACTCTGCAGGCAAAGAATGGCAGGACCTGTCTAGTTCTACTCATAATGCCGCTAATCTTTTTCCAAGGGCTTAGTAAGTTCCTTTTGACAAAGTAGTTTTATAGCAAGCTCAGAGTCTTCATTAAGTGACCCTCCTTTAGAAAAAGTCTCATAAAATCTCCGTGATTGGAGATTGTCTCATTTGTCTACTCTTCCAACAGCCATCTTTAACGCACACCAAACCAATTAAACAGCCTAACAGTCAAAAAGCAAAAATAAAACAAAAGCCTGATCATCAGAATAATAGTTTTGAGAGGAGTAAATGGTTCTTAGCTAATCATTTCCAGGAGTCTTGCAAATTGAAATCGTGCTTTTTGTAAACAGAAGGGATTCCTAAAGAAGTAGAGCTTTTTTTACAGAACTTACAAAGATTTTCATGACTGTAAGACACAGCCCAAAATAACACGGAAAATGTATCAGCCATGTAGCCTAAACTCACAAAATCTGGAAACCACATACTACAAAATGTAATTATTTTGACCCAAATTATAACTCTTTAAATGATTATTATTGTATTAAATAGAGTGATGCAAAAGTAACATACACAAATCCTTACTTTCTTCTGTTGGCCTGTTTAATGCTTTTTCTGTTATAGCCATGTGACTCAGCAACATGATTGCTAAAAGTTCAGGTTGCAGTTGCCTTGGAAGAATAGGCTGTTTAGTAACTGTTAGAACAGAGAAAGTTGGACATTTTCCAATTTTGCCCATGGCAACAAAATCCTAGTCTTAGTAAGACAGAGAAACAGCTATTTGCTAGCTGAAAGGAAACATTTTAGCTCTCCTAAAGGAGAATTAACCATTCTTTGCATTTACAGTCAAAAGTCATTTCAAAGATTTCCAGAATGTATGTATAAGGTCTTCAGTGACTGGAAAAGAGAAACTGACTGAAATCCATACAACTAGATCTTGCCATATAATATTTTTTAAAAGATTGGGTACTGAAAACATATTTGTTTTCATGTGCTCTGTATATATATGTCTAGATAAAGGAAAGATCAATGCACCTTTCTTCCTATACAATGTTTGGTTTTGGGCTTTTTGCCTTATGCTTTGACTCCTTCACGTACTAACCAGCAACCTTCATTCTTTGCCTTCAAGATCTAAATTTTGCATCTCATGTCCTTTGAAAAACTCTGGAGCATTGCTCATATATCTAGGTTGTATGCATATGCCTGTTCTGTAATGTTTAGGCTTCGGCTGCTAGCAGTTTAATGAAGTAATTCTGTTTCTACAGGAATGACATACCTATTACAAGGAAATACAGTCTCTTGAGCTTCCTTTCCCTCTTCATGTCTGATGACAATCTTATCCAGGAACCACCCATTGCCTTTATTGAAATGACAAAAGTTTATTATCTGAAAAAATGTATTTTTAAAATAAATTTAAAGAAAAAAAAACTAAAACTTTTTTCAGCAGAAAAACAGATTCCATTAGGACAGAACTCAACTGAAAGGATGATATAAATTAACGTAGTGAAAGCTTTATCATTCTATGTCTCTTGTAAGAGGTAAAATATTAATTCTTCCCTGCTTTGCTGTGTTTTAATTTAAAAGGAGGGGTTTTTTGCTTGGAGATGAGCGTATGCATATATCTGTGAAACGCCATGACCATTCACATCCCAGCCTACATCTTTTGATTCCTTGTGCTCAGGCACAAGGATGTTAGGACAAATCTGCTTATTCAATTAACCGAGATCTATGTGAGAAATGGAACTCTTGGTCCTCTGTGAGTGAAATTGTTCTTGCATGTAACAGTATCAGTTAACAGACCATTAGTATCTACTGTTCTCATTTTCCTGTATTCTTACTTAGTTTCTGAAAAACATATGCTTTAGCTGTTACAGTATATACTCCTTTAAATACACTACAAAGTCAAAATACTGCATTAATCTTCATGAACATCAGATTAATAAATTATGATAGAAAGAAGTTTGTTGAAAACAAACAGGAGGTGTTCTTCTGAACATGTGATAAGCCTCTTCACAAAGCTTTTCAAATTTGCACTTTTAAAGCCTAAGTTTCAAGGGCATGTTTTTGTTTATCTTTGTCCTGTATAAACAGAAGAAAGGACACTCTTTACAAAACTTATTTTTTAAAATATGAAATATCATAATCTTTACTGAACTTCCTTTTTGCCCTCCTGACCAAGGAAACAGCACGAAGAAATTTCTTTTGGTCTTGCAACAGGAACTATTTAAATTTTATAGCATGTAAACCACAAAGCACTTAAGTATTTTAGGAACTCCCCACTGAGTTTGCTTACCTTCTACGTGCAACTTTGTGATAGGCCAGAGAATTCATTTTCTACCAGTAAAACTACACAAGTGATAATATGCTTTTAGGTGCTATATAAATTGTAGACATTAGCAATGTAAATAGTAAAAAAACAAACCAAACCAAAACAGACACCGTTTTCTTAGGTTATGATTCAAGTTAAAAACCTATCCATCAGCATGACCATGATTGCTATTGGCCTACGACATTGCCAGGAGAAAATAACACTTAAGAACTTGATTTACCAGAGAGATAGTATTTCCCAGTCATCAGTGGGCAGGGCATTGGTGCAGACTTGGCTCTGGGACAGAACACTACCTGCACAATCATGGAGCACTTCCCAACCTACTCGCGTTTTTCAGAAGCCTTACTCTTCCCAGACACAGGGAGAAAAAAATAGGGCTGACTAGGAAAGTATTTATAATTTTCATTAATAAAAGCATGTATTACTGAACTTCAAAGACCTATGTGACTGTGCAAGCAAATTATTACTAATTTGCTGTTCCCTCAGTCTTTCCCTTACCTTCCAGCTTTTGTTACATTGATTTCTGCATCTAGTTTTCAATAAAGCAGTAAAAGGTAGCTGTATACAGAATACTCTAGTGTTGCCTAGGTTTGTCTTAGCTGGCTGAGACAACATCCTTAGTTGTTGTTAAATTATGTCTCATCTTATACACAGAGGAGCACAGAGAAACACTAGCTGGTGGGGGAAGCTGAATAAATACTCTACCCCAGCTCCTCCCAGGGCTGTCACGGGAGAGTAATCAGCCCCATCCTCTAGATGTGAAACCCATCACCACGAGTCAACGGGAGCAGCTTTCCAGAATACCTTTCAGATTGGGGGAATGATTGCCTACTGGATTTATTATGGGATGTTGGGGAAAAGCCTCTTGGAGTTCTACAGGACTTGCTATGGGATGTTTAGTGGTGGAACCAAAGGCAGCAGGGAAGAAGGGATCAAGGTAGTTTGAGGAAGAATAAGTGTGGGAAAATAGAAGAATAAGGAGATAAAATGGGCAGGTCACTTGTGAACCGATTGCTGGTCAGTATGCTTATAACACCATACTGTATATGTATATATTTCCCACTAACAGACCTTCTGATCAGCCAGAGAGAGGAATAGGATGAGGCTATTGGTCCTGTTTTTGTTTGTGTAAGTATTGAGTGTTTCTATCTGTGTTTATCTGTGTGGTTGACTGTGCATAAATATATACCTCTCTCTCTCTCTCTCTCCATACACATACATAGGTATACATATACACATGTATATGTATATGTTGTATATGTGTGTTTGTGCATGTGCCTAGTGGGAATACATGCACAGCCTCACTACTGGTTGATCTTGGGGACACAGAGCTATGGCAGCCTGTCCTCTGTCAGGCTACTGGATTTGTCCTCTCCCTAACAGTAGTAACCATGGCCACATCCATCCTGCTCTCTTAGATCACTTCCAATAACCATCTTAGTGACTGTTACAGTTATCCTTCAAAGTCCTTTCCAAATAGCCTCTCCTAACTGTGTCTGCACCACTCACAACTTACAATATTTCTTAAGAAGTATTGCTTGAGTCATACCATTATATGTCAGTACACTGTAGCAAAACAGCAGGAGGAATGTTTTGGTCAGACCCACACAACTGTCCTACTTACCTTTGTGCTCTGCCTCCCTGGCTGCACCTGAATCTGGAAGTCCCTAGAGGGCAGCAATCTCTGTCCCATAGCGAGGGCCTGCCTGAACAGGGCATGGAGCAAAATGGTATTTCCATTTCAAGACTTAAGCTCCAGGATATGTTAGGATGCTTTGCAAGCTTTCTCTATCACCCTCCAATACTTCAGCCGGTGGTCAGATGCCCTCTCCTTGTAAGGAGCCTACTGGTCAGGCCAGTAACTGTCAGCACACAGGCAGGTAACTTTGAAATAATGCAAAAAAAAGAGAGGATGAACTCTTTTTGTGTGAAAGCACAGGCATGAAAGAAAGGTACCTCTAGAAGAGAAGGCTGTTGTTTCACCAGATAATACTCATCATTTAGTGACTCCAATTTGACAAGAGCCAAATGCCTGTTGTGTGGGACAAAAATCGTTCTCTTTCTTCAGTCACTGTAGCTGTGGGAAAAGATCTATGCCCTGTGGTCTAGGAAACTTCCAATGCACTTTACAGAAAGGATGCTTTTTGGTACGCCTCTAAATACTCTGCAAAGTCTGTACATGATCCAGGTGATTATAAGGGCATTTTCCAACCATGGATCTCCAAAAAACCCACAGAAATTTACCCTGACTGTAAACCTCATAGACCTCTCTCTCTCTCCTCCCCCAGAGAAAGGATACATCCCATTATTGTTCCAGGATAGTTCCCAAATCTAGACTAAAGGCCTTCTGCCCAAACATTCAGGCAACTGATATGATTAGAACAAAGGATAGCCCCATCTCTAAAGGAATGCACTTTCCTCCCTTGAGTCCCTCCTGACAGACTGGGTCTCTAGTTGGTCTCCACCCTGGCTCACCAGCTTCTTCCAGTTCACAATCCCCTGGGACCACTTCAGGTCAGGCTCATGTGGGGCTAGTTTAGTTCAAGAGAGGCCTGTAAGATCTGTCTGTGTTGAACACAATGAACAATCATAATTATCCAGTCATTAATTTCGTTATATATAGAAACCAACCTGTCTTCTTACTTAGACAACCTTCCATAAATACAGATTTTGGAATCCACTGTCAAAGGAACTTAGGATAGCTGAGCTTGGCGGCAGATTTGCTCTGCTGACTGTGTGATATGGCTGCCTGCTAAAGGAAACATGAGGGAGGGGAAAGAGAGCATGGTGTGGTATACTGGGGATAGAGTGAAGATAGGCTCTACCACACTGCCTTCTGGGATATGTCTTGGCATACTACGATGTGAAACGCTCGGGTATATGGTCATCCATATGGCCAGAGGGAGCATACTCTAGAGAACTGTAAAGCTACAAGACTCAATTTTACATCCCGTACCAAGGCCATCCTAATGAGCTCACTCCTGTGATACTCATAAGTGTGGTCAGAGCCTTAGACAGTATGGGTAGTCAGGAAATTTGGTGATGCTTGAGGTTATTTCAGAACAGAGTAGAATAAAAGTGCTTTTCTAATCTGCTGTGGGCACAAATTGCAATAAAAATCCTTCCCTTCATTTAACTCCTTCACAGCCACTAGTCTGCAAATATTACAGCATTTGCATCTTCACTGCTTTTAAAAGCCATCTTTCTCTTCATTTACTTTGTTCTAGAGATACACGGCTCAAGGGCTTCTGTGACAAATTCCTCTCATCACAAAATTCTCTTTTTTCTGAAGCTCCTGCAATCTGAATGCAGCAACATTCACTGCAGCAGCTGCACATTGACTAGCACGGAAGAAATAACCAAGTCTTCTCCCATTCCCCAAAGCAGCAAAGATATTACTCGTTAGCTATACAGACTTTGTTTTGTAGTAAAGTAGGCACTGAATATCTTTATTGTACCTTTATCCTCACTCTTTGTCTAATGAAAGATCATTTTACCTCTGTCAGCACCACAGAGGCAAACAAATTTTACTTCATGAGTTTTCTTAGAATGCTGTATGCCAAATAAATAGTTCTCTATTATAAATAAATTGAAAACAATGAGTGAAATGATATTATTTGACAGTAAGTTCATGTCCTCTTTGCTGACCATTATCACTGTATTCCACCACAGTGGCTAGTCCACAGGAAGGCTTCTTATCACCGCAAGACCTTCTGTCACATTTTATATGGAGAATGCAACATAAATAAAGTGTATTTTGTTTTAAAATGACCTGAAAACAGAGTAGTTGCTAGGAATTTAAATCCTACCTGGACCAGCTCCATCATGGCTAATCAGAATTTTCTCCAAGTCTCCCAGTGAGACAGCCTTTATGCAGAAAATATCCATCTGTAGAACCACACAAGGAAAATTATAAAGGTCTTAAACATAGCTATTTTAACTATAGCTATATTAACTATAACAGTATAGAACAGTTACTCTTTTTCTCTGTTTTTGCAAAATGAATATTGATATTGTACATGGGTCCCAGCCAAACAGTAAGGATCCTTTGAAGCTTTGCAAAATGAACAGCACCTTAAAACTACTCCAGAGAGACGACACTGGATTCCTTTGGCATGAAGCAATGCTCATTTGCAAAGAACTGATTTGACCATCTCTATATTACATCTTCTAGCCCTATCTGCCTTCCCTCTCTTACCTAGACTGGAAAACATCATTGTGATTAACGATTTAGAGCTTGATTCTAAGATTCACAGTAGCCTGGTCAGGAGAGCAAAAATGCTTTCATTGCCATTTTGACCATACGTCTAATGTAAATAATCAACAGCACTCAAATTCTAATAGCCATTGCTCTCAGTAAATGAATCATTTAAAATCAGCAGATAAAAATTATTCACAAGATGAATTGTATAAATAATTTTGAATACAGAAAATATGTGAGAAAATTGAAAACTGCTTGAAGAAAATTTGTGAACAAAAATATATTTATGTTTGTTGAAGAAACAGTTTGCCGGCCATAATTCACTTTCACTGACCGGAAGCAGCACTGTTTTTACTTCACCTGTCCATGTTGAAACTTTACACTATTATTCTTGGATCTGTGGAGCTTCCTCTTGCCAGCATCTCCTCTCGTTCCGATAAGATTGATGTAAACATTAGAATCTGTTTCAGCACCAAGTTTAGAGCCTGTGTATACGTGGATCTCATACACCAACACTACAAGAAGAAAAACCTTGAGATTATCCTTACTGCTTTTACGTGATTCAAAACCTTTTGCATCAAAATTTGGTCAGGAGACTGTAATGCCTTTCAGGTATGGAAATAGCAACACTATCCATGTATCTGTCACTTTCAGGTTCAAATCTTATAACTCTCTGCACAGAAATATGAATACGCTAATCCTAAAAAACAGCATTTATGCTGAGCATAGCAGCCCATCTGCTCGGGAAAGTAGCCCATCAAGTAAGCGTTCCCTAGTGCTCCACTTTCTTCTCTTGCTCCCATTTGAGTATTTATGACTTCAGGATGTAATTTGCAAAATCTTTCTTGGCAAGTTATCTGCAGACCGTCTGACTGTGCCTGATCATGGTCTCAGACAACAGTTATACTGCATTGGTTCCAAAGAACTGTAAACCTTGGTATCTGTGCAAAACAGAATTTTCTGGGTGACTAGGCTTCATTTGATCTTAAAAAGAGGCTAATGATCATGAAACACAGGATTTTTAGACTTTCGCATCATGTACAACGGTGAGCAAGTAGAATGGACTCCCCCTATGTATAAAATGACCAGCTGGACAACCAACTTGGTTTTGAAGGTTTCAACCTTCATCACTAGTAGATGTGAATGCTTTTAAAAACAGCTCTCAATTAAAATATATTTAAGACTTTTTTAATGCTTCTCCTTCTACTCTAGACAAAAATCTTCCAGACACAAAAATACACACTTATCTTCAAAGCATTCTGGAATACAATTCAGGGTTACTGTATTAATATATTTTGAACCCAGTAATTTTATCATTGTAATTACCTAGATATGAAAACTTACTTTTTAAAAATAATTATTTCTGGTATTACATCCTGTTACATTTCAACCTATTTTTTCTATTTCTTATAACTTTTTAAAAGTATTTTTCCTGTTTAGACCTTAGTGGTACCTTTTCCATAAAGTGTTTTTATTCTAATCACAGTCGATCATTTCTTCTGCTAGCTAGTAGATGATAGAGAAGATTACTGTTCCACTAATGGAGATCTTTAATAGCTCTTTGGAGTGAAGAAAGGTAGCAGAAGCTCTAAGAAACACAGCTAAGTACAACCTTTAAGAAGGAAGCAAGTTGGAAACAAAAAAAAAATAGCCAAATGTTTGATACGAGACAGCAAATATTAATTAAAATACTATTACTGTCAAAATACAAGTATCAGGTAGACTCTGACATGTCCATGTATTTTTCATTCTCAGGATCCCAAAGCAGTTTATGAAGCTAAACATCATGTCATTTATCACTAAAGAAAAGCTACTTCTCATGCTCAGTGCCTGGTATTCAATGGAGAAGCTATACAAATAGTAAAATAATACCACAGACATTTTAAAGGCAGAAAAAATCACCACATGTATTTGAAGCTAGGAAGGAAATGTTGATGGATACACTGTATTCCTTACCAAATTAGAATATCTTTTTAATTCATATAAAATTGTCCTAAACTGGCACGGACAGGGTCTCCAACTCTTTATCACTAGTACAAATGTGCCTCTAAAGAGGAGTAGCACTTCCTGATCAGTGTCAGCATTTTCTGTAGCTCCAAGCATTCAATGCTGCTCTCACATCCATGAACTAGGACACTGCCACTTAACCTGTGAAATGTAATTAATCTCAATAATACATAGGCGCATCTGTCGAAAATCTGCAAAGCCTTGGAAAAACTAGTTTCAATGTCTCTAACAGAAAAACTTGTTAAAACACATGGTAGATACAAATGCCAAGTGACAAAGAGAAATAGACCTCATAATCAGCATAATTATGCCATATATCCAAATGACATTTCATATCATAATTCTTCATATACTCATAGTGTGTATAGATTAACAACAGGAGAATGCAAGACAAACGCGAAACTGTTCAAAGGAGAAAGGATAATGGGTGACAGCAGACTAAGAAAGGAAACATATGCACTGAAGCAAAGAGCCAGAATAATCAGAAAGGGAACAAAATGTTTCAGGGAGTGGTGAAGGTGAGAGGTCACATCTCAGAAGAGAACCTAACGATTATGTTTAGCTATTACCAGCCATCTGAATAATATCACTGGACTGCCTGTGGAGGAAGGCACTACTGATTAGTAAAAGCAGGGACATATCAAAAACTAAGTCTGCTCCACGCTTTTACTCTTACTTACACTCTCAATTTTGAAAAAGTAAATCTTCCGTGGGAGCCAAAGAAACGGTGTAGACCGCTTATGTTATGACTGCTTATGTACAGAAGATTGGTATCTATATTACTTAAATCCGCAAGTAATTTCCATGATCAAAATTGCAAAATTTGACTAACCATAAGCACAAATTTAAAGCCTAGTTCAGGCTTTTTTAAGAAGCCTTTTAATAATAAATGATTACAAGAAGGAAATACCAAGAAGTTATTTCATTTCTGGAGGGAGATCAAACCAAATGGATTATGTGCAGGACACACCAGAACAGAATAAGAGAAAAAATACAACACAAGCATATTAATAGATAAATAAATTACAGTTGTTTTTGTAACGCTGTGCGTCTCTGTGGTAACCTAAGAGATGATAATGCTCTAAATTTTTCTATTGTTACAAGCCTAAATAATTCAGTCTGAAGTAGAAAACACATACATGCATATACACCTCTCTCACCATCTGAAGAATATGAGACCTTACATTTATTTAGGCTACACAATCTATGTATTTAGAAAGGAAACTCCTAAACCAAAGGACCAATTTGGGTTTCAAATTTGTGTACACAATAACAATACCCTGTGAATTAGATGGTGATACTAGGACAATAAGTGGAATGCTCATTTCCCTTAACTTGTGTGTATGTTACAATGCATTTTATAAGAAATGCACAAAAAAAGTTAAGCAAGGAAAGTATTCTCCTAACCACCCTGTATTTGCATATTTAGAACGTGCCACAACAGATAAATGCTTGGACATTCATATCGACATTCTTCAAACAGATTTTGTGTGTTAAGCCTTTTTTTTGTACAAATGGAAACGTACGCACAGACTGACTTGAGCGTATCCAATTTTGTCAGACTTTGTTAAGCAGTTTTTTAGGTTGCTGAGTAATTACTAAAGATGCTAGTGTTACTGGCTCCTGAGCTACGGCTTGCTTAAATGCTAAGAACAGGAAGGGGCATGCCACTCCGTAGCAGACAAGACAAGGTACACCAATAGTTTGATGAGCACAGGAGACAAATTCAGCCAAGCCTAGAGAATGAAGCTATCAGCTGAATACACTGCTGAGATAGCATGACTCGTCATGAATGAAATTTGCTTTTTTGTAGCTTTGCTGCTTGTTGTTCACAAACAAAAGTTTTTGTGCGTTTATAGTAAAATAAAAAAACGCTAGAAAATACGTTTAATCTCTGTATCTCGTTTCATTTCCTTTGAGAAACTGACCTGCTTTAAAGCCCGGCATTGCTGCCACATTTGAAATGGCAACATGTTTCACTGCAATAAGAAAAAGCTATCACAAAACTTTGTGAATTAGATCCCAATGGTCTAATTGGGACAGAATGAAGGCATTCTGTAGCAGTAATTTCATTCTACTATACCATACTGATTTAGCGACAGTACACCAGCAGACAGCTGGGGTGACAAGGCAGAGAAGTAGGCCCGTAGTCAAAAAAAGGGAAAGAAAATGTTGGAAAATATATCATAAAACCAAATACTGAGCAGAAGGCAGGAAATACTATTTCAGCATTCTCATAGGGACCTGTTAGACTACATCTAGGCAGCTCTAAGGTCAGGCTCATCAAAGTAATTGAAGAAAGGTTTTGAGAAAGGCAATAACCATGATAAAGGATATAAGAGGATTAATTAATAGAAAATGACTGGAAAAAACGCAGCTAGCACTCACTAGAAAAGAAAATGACCTTTTGGAAAATAAATGATTGAAATCTTCAAGTTGTTAAAAGGGTTACTTCAGATAAGCTCTATAATCAAGCAGAAAACTCTAGGACTTGGGTGCATGGATCAAACAGTTGAAATAACCTTTCAGACAAAGGTAGGGGGCTTCTAAAAGGCCGTATGAAAGACAGTCATTAAAGTAGTATAATAACTATGTTAAGAAAATGACATTGGCACCTAATATTAAAAATATATAGGAGTCACTGAGTAGAATCAGTTGTACAACTACCAAATTTGTACTTGCTCAGTCTATACAAATGTACTATTGTTAGCTGTCGAGATTTTATCTCCTAGGTGTCATGACTTAGAATATTTGGTGCTATTTTTAAGCCCGATCCCCACCTTCTGGTATCTATTGATAACAACAGAATATGAGCTATCTGGGAAAAAGGAGAGAAAGAAAGGAAGTTTTGCTTCTTAGTTATGAAGAAAATGTAACCACTTAAGGTATCCTAATGGCCTAACAAAATACGAATAAAGAATCCTTTTTTTTTTTCCCATATTCATTTTTATGGGGACCTGAATACCTGAATCAGGGTTTCTGAAAGAGAGGGTTTGATATATTCCTGACTGCTGGCCAATGGCAAAAGCTATTTTACCCCAATCTGCAAGCACAGCATATGAACTCTCATTTCCTTCTGAAGGAGGAACGTACAGACTTTAATGATCTACGGCATTTTCCTTTGGAAAATATAAATAGTGAGCAAGTATCGCAGGTTGCTTTAGACTGAAGATTACGTTAACATTTTGATATGTTTTGGGAGAAGAATAAAATAATCCTAACAGGGTTAAAGAAAAATTTATCACTGAAAATAGGAAAATGAAAGTTTTCACTGCATATTTATTCGTCTTTTTGTGCTGACTTAGTATAAATTATTGTCCCATTGTTAGTTCTTTTCCAAGTAAGTCTACTCAAGGAAAAACATAGTCATTATTTTAGAATTCTAGTTAAGAGCAGCTGAATTCAAGATAAATATAACTATTACTTTTTACTCAAAGTATGTTAGATAAGCTACCTCTGCATTACAGTTGTGTAACCCTAATGACACTGGTGTGCCGACAATACATTAGTTTGAATCAAGAAACTGAATCTCCTGATTGGCCCTCCTTATTTCTGTCCGATTTGCAACATAGACTGGTTTTGGAGGAAAAAAAAATATTCCTTTTGGATGAAACTAATCTAGAAGATACATCCCAGGAAAACACTTATTATGATCTAGCCACAAATTGGTAGTTAGTCCATGGAAAAAGTTTAGAAAAAGTCCAAAGTAACTTCCCCTGAAGTGCACATAATGTGGACATTGGATCCTTAGCATATTAGACTCTTAGCATATTAGACTCTCAGCATCAGCTGTTTCACTGCATAAATCCACTCCTATCAGGCTGGTAATGAAAACATGGACAAATTGGTCAAAAAATACAAAATCTAGAGAGATGATAAACAAAGAAGCATCACTTTTAGCAGGATATCATATTAGTGTCAGCTTTTTGAAGTGACTAACAAACAGACAGAAAAACTAAGGAAGATTACCAGTGTGAGAAATTTCGAGAGACAAGAAGGGCTTTCAGAGAGGAAGTTGAAGAAAAGCTGACAAAATCTGGAAATCCCTTAAGATTTGAGGAAGAGAGTGAAGCCAGAAAAGCGAAAGAAGGTAAGGAATCAAAAATCGTCTACAAGGTTCCAGGTGTCTCTTGGGAATGCAGTAGGGTTTGGCAGGAGAAAGGGAAAAAAGGGATAAGGGAAAAGTTACCCTTTCTTCTGAGGGAAAATTTGAGTAATAAAGTGTCAAAGAATAGCAGTAAGAAAAAACAGAACTTCCTGAGTTTAGCTTATATTTGTTCATTTTGTTTAAAGTTTTCAGCAAATCATTTTTATAATTAAGTAAATTTAATGCCTTTAGAAGATAGCAGATTGAATGGAAAGTACAGCAGACAAACTACTAAGTCATTTCTGACTGTCATTAAGTAATAAGTAGTACATCATTTGTTCTGCTGGAGAAAATGGCTTGATGTGGTTTGCCTAGATCTTGTAAGCAATTACCTTTTACAAGGGAAATGCAAATGGATAGAGTTTCATTTGCTTGTTTATGAGAAACTAAATAGGAAATCCTCGGGAGGTCTTGCTGAGTTTATATTGATTTTCAATTTAAATTAGCCAAAAATCAATAGTTAATTTGTAGCAATAAGCTCACAATTTCAGGAAATATCCAAATCCTTTTTAATGTATGTTTTCTTGAAACTTTGAGAAGTGTATTTTAATAAAAATAATGCTCCTTCCAAAGCAATGAAAGATTCAGTAGTTGTACCATTAAAGAGGCTGAATAAATGTGCTGTTTTTAAAATATTCCTTGTCTTTGACAGCATTGACTTGATTTTTCACTGCCTTTCACTTTGCTTCATTACCTGCAACCAAGCAAATGGACTGTACCTACCAGAATATTAGTACTTATCTGTGAATGATATTTCAGACTACATAATGCTGGTTTGAGTTCTTCATGTTGAATTAATTGTTGAGACAACTTAATTGGCTTCTGCACCATTTTTCTACAGCACCAATATGTGATATTTATGTTACTACAGGAACCCAATGGTGGTATAGTGACTTGTGTTAATCACAGGGCTTGGTTCACCCTGCTCAGTTTCAGTTTTTGAAATCTCTTATTAAAGTCACTAAATGTTCTATGGAATAAAAAAATATATACAGGTGGGAAAGGTGGACTGGCATATATATGTTTCTAAGCATTGTATGGTCTTTGTAGTGAAGGAGATCAATTGTTCCTTCTGGCCTTAAAACCCATAGAAAACCGTTTCATCACCAGTATTGATGGCTCTTTGAGAGAATTATATTCTCTTGAATTGAGGTTTTTTACTTGTTTGCTCTTTTCTTCTGAAATGATTTGATTGTCACTAAGTGCCTGATGACCCTTTTGTATGTTGAATCCCTGATTCCTTACAATATTCACTATGTCCTTTTGAATACAGTTTGCCTGAATGATTGCACAGATAAGATCTGCCACTACCAGACAGCATTGTCTACCAGCTGCATCATTGCTATCCTGTAAATGTCAAGAGAATTCTATAAAAAAACCCATTGCGCTAAATGATTACGCGATCTCTCAGTTCCTCTGTAGAGGCCCAGGACTTTTAAAATAGTTACTTTGTATGGCAGGCTATTTCCTGCTTCACTTGAAGAGAGCAGACTGTCATCAAAGCTGTGGTCAGATTTTGAGGTCTCAAAAGAGCCACTCTGAAGTTAGTCACTCCCATGTTTACAGCTGTGACTTGAGTCTGATTTGGAAAACACGTGTGCAATGATTCATTTCTTGGATTTCTACTAAACTATGGTCTATGCAGCACAAGAAAGGATGATGGTTCCTTGCTATAAGAAACTGGTTGCTACCTGACATTATACATCCTGATATCCTAGCTTCCTGCTTAATCCATACAAGTCACTTGCTCTAAAAAACAGTATTTGCCAATGATATAGGGGCATTTTCAGAGTCCAAGAATTTTAGAAGGGTACAGCTATTATTCTGGTTGTGGGGAGGAAGGGAGTGGGGTAAAATGACCAATTTCCAATTTCTGTGGAACAAGAAAGCATCTTGTAATGGAAGGGATTGTTTCATGGTTACACCAGCTTTTGGACAGTTCTGTCCTGGAAGAATCATGAATAGCTGTCATATACTCACAAGATAAGACTAGTGAACATGTGATCTAAAATACTGAGCACATACATGGCAAAAGCTCCTTTGTGAGGTTTCTAATTGCCACTTCTCTCCATGTATCCCCATCATCCTTGTCTTCTGCGAGCCAGCACTCTATGGGGAGACGAATCTCCTGATCAGAAATAGGGACAACTCTTTGAAGTCTGACTTCCTCCAGGTACCAACTGGGATCATCTCCAGTGTTGTCATGGCCAATGCGAATTTTATAGAGCTGCCCAAGATCCCTGAGATTAATCTGCAATGACAAAAAATTACAAATTTTAATAATAAGTTATAATGTTACCTTTTAGCAATCCTACTCACACTGTGCATGCAAGCTAAGCACGCAGCTAACATGTAAGCAAGAGTTCTGCTCTTTAGAAAATGAAGCCTTAATATACAACAAACCCCAGTGCAGTACTGCTAAAGCATATGGAATAGTTTGCAAGAGTAATTGACTAGTCTGCAAGATTAGTTGACTTTGGTACTGTATCATCCAAAGTGGTTAAAGGGCTCAGAGAACTCAGTGTGGTTTAGATCTCTTGACAGAATCCAGTTTGTAGAGCAATGAAGTAAACCAGTATTTCTGTACAAATACTTTAACAAACAGAAGTTCTTTAGTTCTTTCAATCAGTGCTGCATGAAATAATATATTTTGTAGACTATACAGTCACCATCAGCAGTGCTCCATTAACTGTTCCTACCACTTATCAGTTTGCTGTGGCCCACTTTTCTTTTAGTCTTCTATTTTTATGTGCATTGGTGTCAGGGTTAACTGTTTCTGTAAGTGCTGATGCCACGCTGTAGCTAATTTAAACAATAAAACATGACTAAGTCACATTGAGTATTGCAGCCCTGAAATAAAAGCCACTTTGTCTGGGGCTGCAGAAGTTTTCTGCACAATGCTGATAGAAGGAACCTAAACATAAAAGCAGGTTAACCACTTTCTACACTCTCATTTTCAGTGATGTGTTTAATAGCTGTTGGTATGGACGAAAAATTACAGTGAAGAAAAGAACAAAAAATAGGCAATCTTCTTTTACCATTATACCAATTTGCTACTGTTTAGCATCAAAAAAACTGGCTGGCAAGCAGTTAACAGCAACACTGCCATTATAGTCAGAATCACTAAAAAATATTAACTAAAATTTGTGTTTGGAGGCTTACAGAGTCTGCTCTGGAAAGTAACATTGATAAATCTGGTCCAAAGCAGGAGCTTCCCCTTCACCGGTTTTTGCTAAGGAGCACTGCAAATTAATGATCCTTCTCTCCATAGGACAGCTAGCTCTGTGGAGCTGGAGAAAGTCAGAGACACTAGAGACATATTCTTTTTACTCTTTTGTCCAAATGTTTTCCTAGGCAATGACACAGGCTAGTATAATTCTGTTGTTTCTTATGCATGAGGACAACAGTTGTATCTAATTATACCATCACAGAAAAGAACTCTGCAGTCTTATTTGATCACTATTTCTTTGCATCCTTAAGGCAAGCCTGGCACAATGCAAGCTCACAGGATGATCTCATGACAAATATACTAATAGTATAAAATCTGAATAGAGTCACACTTGTGGGCAAAGTAGCAAGTTTTCCCATTTTTAAACGGTGCATTAAAGGAAGAGGTGATAACTGAAGGTGTAGTTATAACATTATTGCATTAAAGCAATACAGATTTAAAAAAATACTGCTAATACTCGCAACAAAATTACAGCAACAAATAAAAAGCTTTGTGAAACTAAGCACAAATGTAGCCAAGACTTAGGCTAAGTTATTGTTGTAATCCTGTCACCTAGCCACAAAGCGGAGACCTCTGCAGTGGGCAAGTGACTGGTAAGGTTGCCTTGCAAGCAAACGTAAAAACATATTGGAACTCTAACCCTTTATTGTGAATTGAATAAAGTACAGTGTTGGCCAACAACAAAGGCACAGCACTCCCTTGAGATCTAGGCACTATCTGCCGTTTGTGGTGCAGAAGTGCTGAAGAGCAATTTATTAACATAACCATTGAAACCCTGTAAGCTCATGGCCGTGATTAAATTCTGACTCTGACTGTGTTGCAAGAGGAGTATCAGAGCCATCTTTCTGTACAGTATTCATTACCATGACTCTTACCCGGGACCAGGAAACTCTGTCTAAGAGTCTCTTCTACCTTCTGAAGTATCTAATCTGTGATTTGGCTATGAATCAAACCAAAACATTATTGCTAAAAAATTCTGCATATTTATACTGGGTATCATATGAGTGGGCTGAAAAGTGAAGTCATAACTTCTTAATGGCATTAATTTCATGTAGTTGATCATGCTAAAGTGCTTTTTGTTCAGAAGAAAATCTAAGATGGCAGGTATTTCCAAGTTGATCAACAAAGAGTTTCAACTTTGCAGCTGATGTTTGGCAGAGCATTGGTACAATGGAAAGAAGAGCGCACAAAAATAAACAGAGGCAGGATAACTCATCAAGGATTGAAAAAAAAAGAAGCAATCTGAAATAGGAGAAGAAAATGATGAAACCCATTCATCACAATGCAGAGACTTCCTGTTGCTGGGTAAGAAACATAGCAATCAGTCAAACCTGATTAAACAGTTTCAAGAAAAATCAGTACAGAGTAGATGCCCTGTCCAGGCTGTTAAGTTTCTCCGAGTTGCAAACTGCTCAATTAGATTCTCTGAAGTCCTGGTTAGCATCTCAAAACATTCTTGTGTTTGTATCTTTTCTACATCTTCTATCCCTCCCTAACATTCACACTCTAACAGAGGGCACAACATAACAAATTAAATAAGTTATGCTCATGTGATAAGTGTGAATTTGTCCAAAATGTCAAGTCATATGTACTTGTTTGCTATTGACTGCCGGGAGGAAGAGTGTAAGGCATCCTTTTGTGCTATATTCACAAATTATGAGATTTTGGAATCATAACTTATGCAGGACATAGAGCAGCTAAATACAATGACGTATTTGTGAGATTGAAAGTCCTATTAAAAAATAAAAATAAAAAGGCAGAACACTGCTGAACTGAAAACATGCTTAATAATGGTTTCTGACAAATTGTTTAAGGACTTTCTCATGCCAAAAAAATCGTGTTTACTCTTTGGTAGAAATTAAGGCAAGGAGGTCAATGGCAGAGAGCAAATCAGTTGTACATGATGTTCTGGGAGATATACAAGACCATTGCAGAAACTATGTAGTTTCAGCTCCTGTTGTAGTTTCAGGAGTTGAAACAATTTATCTTGCTGTCAGATCAGATATCACATTGGTCTTTCAGTGGTATTGACTTACTAACATGTTACTTTTTGCCAATTGGAATCCTGTCAAAACTATGTCAAATTCTGCTCTTACAGTGAAATGTAAATAAAAATTTTCTCACAGCGTAGCGGGGCTAAGAGTATTCTTTTAGCAGGATAAGCACTGTATCTTGAGGTTGCTCCTTCATTTCCAGTATTGACTATATCATCTTGAACTTCTGCTTGACTTGAACACAAACTGGCATTTATAAACCTACTTTAGCACCCAGAACATTCTGTAAAATGTTGTAGAATAAAGTTGACTTTGTTGCCCTAATAAACAAACTGCTCAGAAAAAACTTAGTCTAGCTGCCTTCTATTATGGCACCATGGCTTCAAAAGTAATATTCACTTTTATATGGAATTAGCCTTTCTTACAGAACTGTGATAAATGGCCGTGCAGAGTAGAAAGGAAGGGTCCCATGTCAAACACTCCAATCTGGAAATTAGACAGCCAGGTTCTACTCCTAGCTCTGCTTAAGGCTTTCTGAGAAACATCACACAAGTCCTCTGTGCTTCACTTTCTTGACTTTACAACACGGACAACACTTACCCATCTTTCACAGGAAGGCTGCAAAGCTTTCTTCATACATTTTGAAGATACGTCTTCTCAGATAGAAGACAAAAGTCAAAAATGCTGGATTTCTTCTGAAATATTCTGCTTATTTTAAGTTAGGTGGTGTTTCCTCGTGACTTGATTGACAGGCTGAAAATAATAGATTGTAATTCTCCTAGCTAACAACAGGGCTAGTGTTTTTGATGTCACTTACAGCTGTCTGGTCTCCCTGTCATATGGCCATGCAATTTCTGTTGACACTAGTGGAAGTTATGCAGGTACAATAAGGGAAGAATACCAACAGCCTGCTCAGCGAGTATGTTGTAAATCTACTGAGAAACAGGGCCAATAAAGATACTCCTCTTCTCCATTGCAATTAGATGTTGCAAGGTACTCAAACTTCCTAAATAACAAGGAAGCACAGAGATGGAATAATGATGTATTTTAGAATATATCTGCACAGCCCTAAACAAATTTGCTAGAAACAGTACATGGGAGTTAGCACAACAGTCCCTTAAACTAAGCAATCCTGCTTCTCAAGGCATACCTATTCTGGTGAGCACTAAACTGAAGTGTTGCAGCGAAAGTAGCAGCTTGAGGCTAATCTTTGCTGACCTCCACAAAAAAGAACTGACAAAATCATCAGACAGCAAGAATTTCTCATCGAAAGCACATGGTCAAAGTAGTGTGCAGGTTCAAAGGCTATCTTATAAAAAATATTAAAAATTGGTTTTAAAAATCCCTTTCCCCCTGTAACTTCTTCAGCTTGGATATAGTAGAGTTTGGATCTGGCTGTAAATTCAAACTTATTGTAAATGATTCATACTACAAAATTATTATCTTTTTTTAACGAACAAGGGTATGGGAACAAAGATATCTCATTTAGGTAAAGGAATCTAAAAATCACACATTAGTCAGATATACAGATCTTCTTAGGGATTGCCTATTAGAAGGTATTCTGACAAGCAATTAATTTCCTGCTCTTCCTAGCATAAAGTTTTACACAATACTTAAATCACCAGTTAGAGTTCATCAGTTGGCTGTGAAACCCCATCTTATGTGTTAGCTTGTTGGTTTGAGTTATGCCAAATTCTGTGATAAATTCTGAAGAGGATGGGCAGTTTGACCTTAAATAGACCCTACTTATGTGAGATAGACTGTCAGCACTTATTAAGCTTGATGATATTATTGGGATGCTATAGCAGTAGGAATTCTATTTTTTTAATCATTTTTCTTTGCCACTACAGGTAATAATTATGTATCAGTACATCCATCAGTATCAACACTCATAATATTTTATGGTATTAGTATGAATACAGATTATACAAAGAAGTGGCCACCATTTCAAAAGGATATTATCAATATTTGGAAGCAGTTAATCAAATTTAGTCTGCTAATCAGCAGAACAGCTTTACATCACTATTA